GGGTCAAGTGGGGTCACGAGTAGTATCCTGGCATCCTGCCAGTCTAATCACCTGTTTATTTTTTTAACAACCAAACTCTGATCCACCCTGGCTGAAGGAGGGAGAGAGAGAGGGAAGAAAGAGAGAGCGGGAAAGTGACAGTAAGAGGAAAGGTTGATCATATTTTATCTCACGTAGGAATGTGCCGCTCATATTTAGTGGTAGTTTTGGTACAAAGTAGCCTGTTTGTTGTTATAAGGTAACACATCCCTTTGTTTAAACCGAGCCGCCTGTAAGTGTAACAGTAAGTGGATACGTTCTTACAAACTTGTGCTGTGCAGCCAGACACAGTTCAGATTTACAGAACTTTATTTTAAAGTCTGGTGGATATGCAAAAGCTTCCAAAAACACCAAATGTGTCCAAAATGTCCAAAAAACATGGATTTGGGAGAAATGTGTATACAATCCAAATATTTATTTTTGATGAAATGGTGCAGCCACTAAGAAACGTAGACCCTTGGGTTGTAATATTTCACTCAGTGTGTTGTGAGGAGCGGGTCTGGAGGCGGAGCTGTCTGAGGAGGAGCAGGAAGTGGGAGGGGCCTAGCTTGTTCAGCGCCTACATATATGGGACTGAGTTCAGGGGTGAGCCGTTCAAACTAACCTGCAGCAGAACCCTGGGATCTCTTCGAACAACAATTGTTTGTCTGAGAGAAACTATGAGTGTCCTTGCTCTCAGCACATAAAGTGCATTGATGCTTGAGTTATTGATGTTAGAATTATGAACAATTAGTTCATTGTTGCAAGTAATATTTGCACCCGATGTATCAGTGTGTCTTGTGATAACAGATGGTACATATATATAGATAAAGCATTGACTGTGCTGGCCTCTCTTGCCCACATCCATGTGTTGATCACAGTAGCCAGCTTATCCTTGTAAACTCCTGATTGGAGTATTTTCTTCACAGCGTGAACATAATTTAGCTTCAATGAAGAGCTGAAAAAGCAGATACATAATATGCTGTATAAATTTAACTGTTAATTTCCCAACCTTAAAGCGATCATTCTCTTACATGTAGTGCTATTTATAAATCTAGATTGTTTTGTAGCCCTAGTTTTGTAGATATCGATGTCTGCATTCTCTCCAATATAACGGGACTATGGCACTCAGCTTGTGGTGCTTAGAGTGAAAACAAATTATTTTGAAAAATTCAACAATAAATGCCTCTTAAAACCACTTATTATTGTTGATTTTTTTTTTTATTGTTAGCAATTTCATGTAGGAACTATTTTCTTTCAACAATAGTTGCTACTTGAAATTGCTTACAACAAGGTCTGTGGATTATCCTGCGTATAACCGGGTTGTGATTTTTGGAAAGATACGTTGCTGTTGAGCTATTCAAATGTCATTTTTTGGCTCTTTGAGCACCACAAGCCGAGTGTCATATAGTCCTATTATATTCAAGAGAAGGCAAACATCTTGATAAATAGCAAGAGGAAAAGAACATTTTGGGATTTGGGGCTGTCCTTTTAAAGCTAATTGGAAATTAAAAGACAATACTAAATGCTAAAGTGTTAAAATAATACATTTTTTTATTTAAATTTTTATTCAAACCCATTTCATTTCATTTAATCTACCAAGCATTTATAAACATGGACAATCCAGTTAGTTAGTCTGTTGGGATGATGAGAGCCAGCACTACAGCTTGTTACTGCCCTCTTTTGGGAAGAACTGCCACCGACTTTGTTGTGGATTTGACTTGTATTGACCAGCCTTCACCACAGAGTGGAGATGTATTACAGCTGTACGCTGGAGATCACTGACTGGTGAATGATGTGTGGTCTAATGGGAATATATACAGTGGAGGCACTGGAAACTATTTGTACCAAAATTAGCAATATTGTAATGCAAATCCATTGTATTACCCATATACAATAAATATATATAAATCACATCTTAAAACTAATTTCTATTGATTAGCCTCTGAATAATAATTTTGTCTTTTATGTTTGACATCTTATGTTCTATATGTTCCACGTTGTAACATTTCTTCTTAGGATCATGTGCTTTTAGCAAACAAGCCTTCATCAGAGTACCACAACAGTGATGTAATATGATCATTGCATGACCACTCTGGTTCTGGGCAATACAAAATGGTAAACTGAGACCAGAGTATTGAGAGGACTTTTAGCTGGTTTGTTTCTAATGTTGCAGCTTGTAAAATGTAAGGACACAGATACATTGCAGAGCACTACCGTGACTGCATTATACAGGAAGTGATTCTAGTGTACAGAAGAACAATAAGTCATGAACCAATATATGATAATAAAGCCATTTGCTCAAATACAACTTGCAGGAACAAAATACTGAATGTTTGTGGATGCAAATGGAGACATTTACAATGCTGAAAGAGAAATAAACATTTCCTTCTCTTGTATTTGAATATGATAATATGTGTCACCCACACATTCATAATATCACACCTTCCTCTATGTTTATATGAGATTGTGCATGGACAAAGTTCAAAGAGTTATAGTTACAGCATTGCGTAGTTGACAACTGCAGTGTGTGTGTGTGTGTGTGTCTGTGTGTGTGTGTGTGTGCTCTAGCTCAAATACAGCTTCATCTTTATTAAAGTTCCAACTTTATTAACAATGGCACATTCTTTCAAAAGTTCAAAGCTTCTATTTTTGTGTCTGCACGTAAACTATTATGAGTGTTCATCATGTTTGTTGCAAAGTGCTTCGACCAGCATGTTTTCTTTGTGAGCGACTTGTTGAATATTTCATCTCTGACAGGAGCGTCAGGTTGCAACGAGATGACTGACTGCAAGACAGGAGGGCTCCACGCCACCCACCTAAACACAAACAATAAAGGGCTGGTGATGGTAGTGAGATATATAATAGCATTTAGCAGCCATTTCTCTCAGGAACTGTTGGAGACCAAAAACAGAGCTAAAAGGAGAGTGAGTATTGAACTTACATTCACAAGGTGGCCAGAAACACCGCTTCAAATGAATGATTATGTTGTTCCGTGTCTGCTGGATGTGTAAAAAGGGAGTTGATTGTGAATATGTTCACCATAAGTGAACCATAAGTCCCCTCGATGTGTAGTGTGTCCACTTTTACCCTAGAAGTCTGTTTTCACATTCGTCTGATGAAGGAGGAAAAATTCCGCATGATCACCTGCATGAGTTTCACACATCTGCTTACGAGCAGGATTTTGTGATATCGCAACTAGTTTGTGTGGGAATCCAAGCCAAGATCTACAGAATTGATACAAAAGTAATTAGAAATGTTTCTTATCAGAGCTGATCATTGTAGTACAGACCAACATTTATTCTGTAACTGCCTCATAATAAAGGTACAACCTGAGCATGGAGTATCTCAGACTATTGCGCCTCAGTAGTAGGCAGGTGAAATGGAGATATGTTACAGTTTCATCAAAAGACTCCACATATCAAAACCTCCTGGAGCAGTAAACACATGCGCCTCCTGTTCCGAGCTAGCCCCTCCCACTTCCTGCACACCTGCATATAAGCTCACCTGTAGCATCAGCAGCACAGATCCTCTGGTATTCCTCTGGATCCCAGCTGTGCCTATCTGAAGAAAACTCTGGTGAGTAGGATGTTTTTTTAAAGAAATTATTTCTTAGCAATTAGATTTATCAGAATTGATTTAAATCGTTTTCAGCAATTCCACTTGGTATTTTACAAAATGTAGTAGTTGAGACTGGGAAAAAATGAAACCATTTATCTCAATGAAAACGATAATTGGAAGAAAAAAGCTTCTACCGCTTTCAAGGACATGAATCTTATATTCTTGCTCTCGTCCATTCAACAGTTGTCAACACAACTATTTGCCAGCTAATGATGAGATGATTTAAACAAAAAATGAAATGGAAGTTCCATTTCCTGCACAACAATGTGTTTCTTTGTGTCACCGGAATTCACTCGGAATATTTTCCCGATCATTTTCCCATGCCAGCTCTATCTTTCATCCGAACAAGGACCGTCTGTCTCCTGCCTGGTCCTTTGTAGTTTTGTGGGAACGGTGTTGCAAGGATCAAGTGACAGAGAGACAGAGAGGTTCCCTTGACCGCTAATCTGCACAAACACACACACACACACACACACACACACACACACACACACACACACAGACAAAGATACACTGTCCATGTTTGACATCCATGCAGCAACTAGTCACACTTAAAGTTCCAGGAAGTAATGTGAACACCTGTTAAACATGCCATCAAATGAGGTTGGAGAGAAAATATGAGGTATTTATTCAAAGTAACATTGAGAATTTATTTTTTTTTGTGCACTGGATCTAAACAGAGACATCACTTTCATAATATGTTATAACATGTAACCACATCACCAGTAGTCTTAACCTTTAGCTCTATTTTTTGGAGCCACTTTTTATCTCCTCAGTTTTTTTTCTGTTTTTGTGAATCCTCCATTAGTGCCTTCTTGAATATAAAATGCACCTTATTTTCATGGTAATAGACTGTATGAGAGCGTTCTTGGTCCCGGTGAGAGGCTCTCCCTCGACCCCGGGTTGAGCTGTGCTCATTTCCATTTAGATTTTACACTGGCTTGAGTTGAAGCTGTATTTGAACGGAGCCGAGATGGACAGACTGAAGAGGCGGTGACCGTAGTCAGTCAATGTCTTCCATGCAGGTGGTTCAATTGAAAAGCCACTAGCCGGTCACATGTGCATTCATTGAAAGACTCCTTTCATCATTTTTAGTGGTCTTGAATATAAGACCCTACTTTGCGTTTAGCTGCCAAATGCTGGAATAAAACACATTTACTTAAGGGCCACAAAAGAGCTTTTCCACAGCCAGATCTCATGTAACTTAAATGACTGCAATAAATCTGCTATTTGAAGTATTTTCCTTATGACATGTGTCATTTGAACATCCATCCAGTGTCTATTCAGAGAGGTGAACCCTTAGCAGCTGTGATGGATGTAACACAAGTGATCTTGCTCTTGTTCTGTTTCTCTCTTCATGTATTGCCTCCACTTTGTCTTTACAAGTTCACCAACATTTCCATGAGTTGTTCATCGTCGCTTTCCTCTTGCCACACAGCCCCCCCCATCATGGCCTCCAGCATGTCAGTGAGGAGCTTCTCTGTGAACCGTCAGCCCTCCTTTTCCAGCCGCTCTCTGATGGACACCGGCCGCACTCGCTCCCGCGCTTCCGTGTCTTTCACCGCAGCCAGCCCTCTGAGTCGCTCGGCCTCTACCGGCCAGGATCTCAACGGGCCAACAAGCCTGCAACTTAATGGCCTTCACGGCAACAACATCAACGATAAGGAAGCGATGCAGAGCCTGAACAACCGTCTGGCCAACTACCTGGATAAGGTCTGACGCATTAAACCAGCACTGTTAAGCGGTTGATCATTGAACACTAAGACCATTGAACTGTTTCTTTCTCTTCCTCTTCCTCCAGGTGCGTTCACTGGAGCGCTCCAACGCAGACCTGGAGATGAAGATCAAGCAGGTGATGCTCGACCGCATTCCCAAAGGTCATGATCTTGATTCCCTGATGGCCCAAGCTCATGCTGTTGAGCAAGAGGTAGGCATGAAGGGACGTGCAACCACACCAGACATGCAGCATAGAGACCGGCACAAGTTCTCAAGGTCCACGATGATGACATTTGTTATTTTACATAGCCAAAACATCAATGCAAATGTGGACATGTGCAGGAGCACATGTCCGCAGAATTTGACCTGCGCTTGATCTTTGAGTTAACTTGTACCAAACCAAGCCTGAACAAAGTTAATCATTATTTTTGCCTATTTCGACCAAATGGAAAAAAGTTACCGTTTAATGAAAACGTAATGCATCACCTTATTTTAGGTTTAATGATTCAAACTTTCATGTGTCTTTTGTAACATTGGTACCCCACTTTTACTGCCAGTATACCTTTAAACATGTGAGTGTAATACATGAAGCATTAAAAGCAGATGACTTCTGTGTGAAGACTGACTTTAGTTATTTTAAAGTCTATTGTTTCTCTACTTTGGTATTTGGCAGGTGAGGAAGAGGACCTTGGAAAATGCTCGTCTCATGTTAGAGATTGACAATGCTAAACTGGCTGCTGATGACTTCAGAATCAAGTGAGTGGTTAATGATTAAACTATCATATCACTTTAACCATTCATTTCCTCCTTTGTCCTGTCCCTTTTACCCTATAAAGTCATGCAAGTCATGCATGCAGAGACTCTTGAGTATTTTGTTTAATGAAAGTTATGCAAAGAGATGTCATGAGATGGACAGAACTAGATCAATGAAAAACACTCATCTTCTTTTATATATAAATGTTTGTTCATCTGCAGACATATCAAAGCTTTAAAGGTTACATGTAACTTTATGAGGCATTTTGTAAGCAATTGTAAAGAAGGTTAATAAACATTAAGTATTCTGTTTTCTGCCTTTCTCTCTATTCATCTGGACTTGACTAGGTGGGAGACAGAGCTGGTGATGTGTCAGTCTGTGGAGCGAGACTGTGTTGCTCTGAAAAAGGCCAAGACCGACCACGAGCAGATCATCGCCTCCCTGAGAGGAGATCTGGACAGCCTGAAAGAAGAACTTTACTTCCTCAAGAAAAACCATGAGGAGGTGAGTCTGATCTAACTCTGTCTGTATACTTGTTTTTTGTCTGTACTCTTCTTCACCCACATGGTGTGCATGTCTTTTAACACGCTGTTTATCACATTTACTTCTCCATTACTCGACATTGGCCTTATCTCGTTTTCATTATTCTGCAACCTGCCCTCACAAACAACAAGTTGTTTGATATCGGTCTGACCCAGTTTGGTGGACTCATGAGGTCTTATTTAGAGCCTAAGAGGACAGGGGGAAAAAAGTGTAGGGAGGGGGGAAGAAACAGGGAGGTGGTTCTCTGGTTACTCTGGACAAAAGACACAGGTAGATCTGGTTTTCTAAACTGCTCTTTCGGCCCAATCAGCTGATCTGAGGCGACCGGACTCCTGTCCTCTGGGGGTGAATAAGAAGATAAATTTACCTCCTCTCACCAACAGAAGGATGGATCTCCTACTTACTGAAACACAATGTAAACAAAACAGCACCGATCCAATTCATGACCAGCTGCAGATATCGAGAATGAATTTCACTAACTGAGACTGGATTATTTCGGCTTTTGTTGATCCTGGAATACATTAAGCACATGTATCCTGCATGCAAAACACCTACTTATTTTACAGTTGATGTTTGTCTTATTTGACCACATGTGAAGGTCTTGACCCTGTCCAGTGTGAGGAAAGTGAACTGTTGATGCCTCTTAGTCTGCTCTCATCTATGCACTCTGTCAGTCATTTATGTTGAAAGTATAGACTCTCCCCCCACCTACCAAGCAAGGATACAAATACTGTGCATAGAATAAAATACACAATGTGCGTGTGTGTTTGTCACACACAAAGAAACGAGAGTGAAAGAGATCCAGTGAATACTCATTAATAGAGTTCAGTGTGTGTGTGTGTGTGTGTGTGAGCTGAAAAGCCAGAGGTAAGGTGAGCTCTGCCCAATTGATTATTAATGGAGAACATCTAAATTATGAAGATGTCCTCACATCCTTAGTGAACCCTTCCTGGTTTCATATGTCGTCTGTATATTCACACATTGTACAATTTTAAGTTTATTTAGAGATGACAACCATCAGGTTCTTTTAAATTAAAAAAAACAAACATATGCACACTGTGACAAAAGATAATTAAGAAGTCACTATGTTTCCCCCTGCAGGAACTGGAGCAGATGAGGTCTCGTATTGCCAAAGATGAGGTGAATGTGGAGGTGGACTCGGCCACCGGGCCGGAGCTGGGCACCATTCTGTCCGACCTGCGTTCCCAGTATGAGGGGATTGTCAAGAAGAACAAAGACCAAACAGATCAGTGGTACCTCAAGAAGGTGAGGGGAGCAACTTTCATTTATTTCTTGTGACAAGAGAATTCTCTTAATACATGCATTTTCATTAGAGTGTACATTCCTGTGACGTTTGTGTGTCCTGTCCAGCTGGAGATGGTGCAGAATGACGTGAAGGAGAGCAACGAGGCTCTGAGAGGAGCTCAGAGCGAGCTGGTCGAGAGGCAGCGTTTCCTGCAGAACCTGGAGGTGGAGCTGGAGAGTCTGCACAAACAGGTGAGCTGCTACAGATGAGAAGCGAGGGGCAAATTATCCCACGGACGCACACACGAGACATAAGAGGATTTCATTCTACAAGCATTGACTGTGGCGAAAGAGACCTTTTAGTAAAGGAGGTGTCTCCATGTCAACATATAAAGAAAACGCATGTTCACACCTTTTGGTCCATGAGAATGGATTGATTACGAGAATTGAAGATTGCTGTTTAGAATAGGAAATTCAACAATGTGCACATTGCAGCACAGCAATGTGCTTGTTCCTCCTCTCTGACAGCAGAAGCCTGACATAGTTGTGATTTTGGTTTAAAAATAATCGTGCAAGTGATGTTTCTACACTTTCAGCTGTGCAAACAAAACTTAATGAGCATAAAGCAGTACAAACAAAACTTAATGAGCATAAAGCAGTGCAAACACCGCAACCATGAATTTCAAGTATGACTATGAGTGTTTCTTTTTCACAACGCCAAGATGAATTATGGCATTGTGTTACAGATAGACCGGGATTAGAAGGGATTTGACAGATACAACACAGGAAATCCCTACTGAAGTTCAGATTCAGTCTCCATACACAGGTTTATTTTAACTTGACGTCAACGTCTGAGAAAAATCATTTGGCTTTTGGCTCTTCTAATCCTGTGTCGACAGTAAACATGTTCTCCCACGCTAATAAGTCATGCGAGACATGGCGGGTACAGTTGCTAAATTCTATAGGGGTGAGTTTCGGTGGTGAGATGGGTAATCATGTAATCATGTCTGAGCAGCGATTTTGTTTTGGATGCCAAGGCCTTGCCAGCCCACAGGTATTTGTTGATTTTAGAATCAGGAGACACTGAGGTTTCGTTTCTACTGGCAAACGCCTTCAGAGGAAATGGGACCATTAAAAACTCGCAATGGAGTCAGGTAGGAGAAGGCAGTTCAGCTCTCTCACTATTTCCCCTTTCTCTCCTCAGATGTCGGCGTTGGAAGGTAACCTGGGTGAGACTGGCCAGAAATACTCTTCTGAGATGGAGCGGCTGCAGGCCACCCTGAACCAGCTGGAGGACGACCTCTCGCAGCTCAGGCTGGACATGCAGCGCACCAAGACCGACTACGAGCAGCTCCTCCGCATCAAGCAGAACCTGGAGATGGAGATCGCCACCTACAGGCGCCTGCTGGAGGGAGAGGAGGCGTAAGTTTTATAGTCCCATGACTGGATGAGAGCTGAACTTAGATTGAAAAATCAACACCACTCTCATATCAGTCCGCTATAGGTCAAAACGTGTTAGCTTAGCATAGGTTGGCTCATTCCAAAGGTAACAAAACCCCTGTAAAACCACAACTTGTCTTCTACTATACCATGTTAATCAGTTTCGCTTTACAGGTCCTGGTAGGTGGATTTTGTTACATTTTACTTTTAGCCAGGCTAGCTGTTTCCCTCTTTTTTCCCCAGTCTTTATGCTAAGCTAACTAGCTGCTGGCACCAGCCTCATACCAAACATGAGAGTGGTATCGATCTTCTCATCTAACTCTCAGCAAGAAAGCGGAAAAGCGTATTTCTTGAACTATTCTTTTAAATGTGTTTAAAGATACTAATTCTAACATGTTTCCTTTCTGCCCCTCAGAGTCAAGGAAGTTCCTCCTCCACCAAAAAGTGAGCACCTGGCTTTTAATATTTAACTGAGAAAAAGAGAGCAAAGTCACTGCTGGTATGTCACAGCACCAGAAAGACTTTCAAGCACAGTATTATATAACACATAAGCACAGCAAAGAATGAAGCACTGCTCATTCATTGATTCTTATCACGCCCTGAATGAAACAGGGAGGCAAAGAGTGACTAAAGCTGTAATGACGAAGGAGATAAGTACAGCAAACTGTTCCCATATGTTTATGTTGTAATTTGACAGTGTTTAAGTGAGGCTGACAGACACATATTCATTCACACACCCAATTGGCCCATGGACTAATGGTTGTTTTATGCACCTCAACACAATGCAAACACCACCAACAGCTCAGCTCCTATAGCAACAAAGGTGGGTGTGAAAGCATTTATCCCAATGTTGTAAGGTACGACATTGGGATAATTGGGAGTTTAATAGTTTAAGCTGTTTTTTCGTGCACATAGTTCTTCACTTGAAGCTGCAGAGACATAGCGTCTTATTTAGTTCATGGTCAGTGTACAACAAACCAAATGCATCAGGAGAATTAAAACTGTGGTAGTGCAGTGACTGAGCAGGTGATACTCAGACACATGATTCAACACACATTACAGAGGAATGTGAGATTAAAATGATTTATTTCACTGCCTCTAATGTTTTGTCTCCTCCTCTCTCATACCACCTCATTGCATCTCATCTCTGCAAATCACATTCTCCTCACACCGCATTATCTCATAATTTCTTCTCTTTTCATTCAATCTCGTATCATCGATCCGTTGTCTCCTCTTACAATTCATCATCTCTTTTCATCGCAGCTTACTTTCTCACCAGTGTAAATCTCATGCGGCCCCATTTATATTAGTCCTTTCAACTCATTTTATCGAATCTCATTCCAAATCATCCTGTTTTCTTCCATCTCATCTCATCTCATCTCATGTCATCTGTGTCTGTGCAGAGGAGCCTGATGTTCGCACCAGGAAGATTGTGAAGGTGGTGACTCAGACGATGATCAACGGCAAAGTGGTGGACGAATCCAGCGAGGTGGAGCAGATCGAGGAGACCAAGAAATAAAAAGAGGGAACAAAAAGTGGCCGAAAGTGGCACAGAGCTGGGCTGCGGAACATCATTTATCCTTGCAACTGAGAAAATATTGTTTTGAATGGAGGATATTTTGGGGGGGAATTGCTTAACTATGAATGTTTTGTGTTTTCAGAAAAAGTTCTTTCCCACATTTGACTTATCAGTGATGCTTTGATCAATTGTTTGTGTCTGGAGTAAATGCAACAAACATACAGTATATGTCCAGCACTGCTGTAGCTATGCATGCTTATATTAATTTAGAATAGAGATGTGTTTTTTGTGTGGGAGCAACTGACTAACCATCTTTGTACTGTCTTACTAATAAAATGCTGTGTACTTAACCAAGATATTTATTACTTAGTGTGGAAAAGTTTACTTTTTTTGCTGTAATGCATACCTTTACTCATTTTGCAAGAATATTGTCTTTGCTGTTTTTGTGTTTGTACTCTGACTAAATAAAGTTTCTTTAATCCGTGTCATGTGTACCCCTCTATTCTTTCTTAGAACAAACATTGCTTTTATGCTGAAATCAAATGACAATATGCAGCGTCTTCAGTGGACTCTTTTTTGTTGTTGGTGAAGTTGCATAAAAAAATCTCATGTTCACCATCTTAGTTTTGTGTTAGCTTGCTAATATATACCAATTAGGACTAATCACAAAGTAGGACGACACATTTTGAACTGACGATGGGGTTAGAGGGGGTCAGGGGACCACCAAAGGCCGTATGATTGACCCTGTGGGGACCATGAATGTCTGTACAACATGTCATGCCAATTCATCAATAGGTGTTTAGATATTTCATTCTGGACCAAAGTGGTGGACTGACCAACACAGTGTGGCTATACATCATAGGAACATCATTATCCAGATCCTTAAAAAATGTAATCATATTAACTTTAGCTTTTTAAAAAGACAAAAATCATGTTAAACTTTGCCCATAACCCGTAAAAACATACACAATGAATACGAAGTCACACTTAGAAGATCATTTATACACACGCTACAGTAACCCATTTAATCCCACTGGTCACAAGTGACCGTACAAAGCGTTTTCAGTTATAAGGCACTAAAAATGTTACTAAAATGTATGTGGTCTAAATGAAATATGTGCAGTGTCACATGTTTAGTGTAAATGGTCACATGACCAGGGCTCCTCATTTTCTGACTGCACCATGACGAAAGGATGGCTGCATCAAAGCTCGTAAAAAAAATGTTATTAATGTGCGTCAACATAAAGTTAGGACAAAGATTCTTGGTATACGTCATCGTCAAGGTGTCTCGTATTGATATATGCATTTACAATTACTCAACTTTGTTCAAAATGGTCATAGAATGAGTAAAAACATGTTCGAGATGATATGCAGAAGTTCAAACCCAGCATCAGAATGGGGGAAAATGGGGATGTTAGTAAGTCTGAACGTGGCATAGTTGTTGCTGCTAGATGGGCTGGTTTGAGTATTTCTGAAACTGCTGGTCTACTGGGATTTTCACTCAAGACCATTGGGTTTACAGAGAATGGTTAGAAAAAAGAAAACATCCAACATTGGACAGTAGAAGATTGTAAAAACTTTGCCTGCTCTTTGCAGATGATGTAGTTCAGACAGCGACCTTCAGCATGCAGTGTGGCGGTTGGCAGCTGATTGTAGAGCGGTCGGGATGAGAGGGAGGTCTGAGGCCATGGCTCTCTGCTGGGAAACGGTGGATTGTGCCATATGAGTTGGGAGTGAGTCCCTGACACCTCATAGGTTGAGGGAAACGCTGGTGTGCATGCTCAATGGGCCCATAGATGTTGAAGATTGCCAGACGATAAAAAAGGAGAGACACATTTGCTTTGTAATTAGTGTTGTTGGTAGCCTAACGTGCAATCTTTCATTGAAGACAAACTCTTGTAATAATTAGGTGAATACTGGGGAAATTACAATGATGAGACAGAGTTGTAAACATCTGGCAGGCAATGTGTGTGTTGTGTCATTCAACTGAGCCAAATGATCCAGAATGACTAATATTGTTGTAGTCTTCATGTTTGGCTTTTACTCTGCTCCACTTGACAGACTCTGACACATCCGACAATCGCCCAATGAGCACCTCCTACCTGCACACACACTTTGTCATGACATAACAACCCAACCGTGTCTTCCATCAACCCTATTATTTAGGGTCATGATCTTTGTAGACGGGTCACCGAGGTCACCATGCTCCTAAATACCCTCATGAGCATTGGTTTTATAGCTCTACAACACAGCGTGGAACTGGTGTTTTAGAATGAATTAAATGTAGAGTTGTTTTTTGAAAGATCCTACATAGAAAATGGTGTCTTGGTCTGGATTTAGGGAAATGTGATCCTTGAAACACACATTGACTCCAGCCTCAGGTTATCGCCATGAGCTCCACAGACATTGTGACAAAAGCATAGCATGTTGTTTCCAGAGCAGTTTTGCCAAAGCCCCCAGATTCCTGTTCGGCAACTCAAAGAGGCATAAAAAGACAGACAGCAAGTCCGATGAGTCGGAAGGAGCAGAAACAGTGAGACAGGTACAAACTGAGAAATGTCTCTCTGCTGTCCTGTGATCATAACAACAGTAATTTAACATGTATCAGCAGCATTTATTATGTTAATGCCTTGCACAGCTGCCCTTCTAGCCAAATGACGCCTGATATGTAATGTAAAGGCGTCAATTTCAGAAAATGAGTCCCCTTTGTAGCCAATTTAAAGGAACAATTTCCCTTAAGTGGAAAGCCTTTTTGTAATGAATGCCAAAAAGCCTGCCATCGACAGTGAACCTTTGCCATCTGTTCTGCAGGACAAACAGCTTTTAGGATCTTTTAAATTACGTTGTTTATCACAGTACAAGATACAGACACTCGTTCCTGAAACAAGGTAAACTGCACTGGGAACAGATTGAATGATCTCACTCACTCAGCATCTAATGACCTTTTCTTGTTTGTAATAAAACATAAATTGTGCAGACTGGGACTGAATACAAGGTCATTTGCACATAATCACATATATAGATTGAGAGACCTTGGTACATATTGAGGCAGCAGTAAGAAATATTGCTGGCTACAATACAACATTTATTCTGCAGAAGTTGTTCTTGATGAACAGATTTCTTTGAAAGTCTGTTTTATCCGATTTCTCTATTGATATGCTGCTGTTATGTTGTGTTTTGTTTCGCAGTGCTTTCCCTGTAAAGCGGATTCATGGAGCCCGATCCACAAGGAGAAGCTTGTTCATGTTTTTTGTTGTATCTTTTAAATGGCGGCAGGTAGAGTACACAGGCCTTCTGTCTCTCCTCTGTTCTTCTCCACAGAGAGATAATGACGACATGGTGAGTAGGAGACAGACAGATCATTGGATTAAGCGGTCTGGTGGTGTTTCAAAAACAAGCTCATCTCCCAAGTTCAGGTGCTGCATTTACAGTGTAAGATCCCAACACAACACTGAGTTTTCAATCAAACTGAAGTCATATATTCATTTCTGCTTTCTGGTGTTGTTCCATTACTGGTTATGTAAACAAGAACAGGCCGACATTTTAAAGGTGTTACAAAAATCCCCTCAGTCAGATCAAATCTCATCCCCACCCTGAGCCCACAATCACAAACATAATCGCACCAATTATCTTTCAGTGCTCCAAAGTAGTTATAATGGGTCTTCCAGCTCATTGTTCAGTGTTCAATGTAGCTCGACTGCCCTCTCGTGGCCAGATCTAATAGTAGCAATTAATGCACAATTCAATTCAGTAAAGGCAGCATTCATTTGCAAACATTCACAATGTACAGTTTTATATAAGATAGAGTGTTTAAACAGTAAAGTCCTTTGTTTCTAGTTGAACGCAGCAACATGATACAGTCTGCATGGACAGTGAAAACGTTAACAGTAGGAGAGGAAAGTCACTCACTTGATATACAAAAGATACTGAAAAACAGTAGATTTGTGTCTGTCATTTTATCCAAACTTTGCTGCAGAGAAGAACATTGAAGGACCCTGAACTCTGTCATCCTCCAAACGTTGGGTATCTGGGTTCGAGCCTCGCTAGACTCAAGCAGATAAATCCGCTTATATTCTTACCTCAAGCTTGTAGCCTATTTTACGTGACAACAGTCTGGGCTTTAACAGTAAGTCTTAGTCTGCAGTACAGGGGAGACCACATCCTTTTTTTGGTCTTGTTTTCCATCTAAAGCGATGTCTAGTGTTAGTTTCTTTTATTGTTTGGGTATAAAACATTGCGTATTAAATGGTCTCATTTCCAGGAAGGTCAAACAGTTGATCCTATCAGAGCTAAGCTAGTTTACAGGCAGACTGACTCTACGGCAGCTTTTTCATCCTGTCCCGCCAACCAGTGTCAACACTCACTCATTATTCACGCTCCCCTGTCATGCATTCCCATTTTACTACTGGGATGCCTCTACAAATATAACTGAGCAAACTCAGTGAATTATTTTACATTTTTAGATACATTGAAGAAGAAATTTGACGGTAACCTGCTGAGACGTTTAAACAGGGAGAAGAAGAAAACATCTGAGAACATCTTTGATGTTGCTGCACAAGAGGGGTCATGATCCTTTTCATGGTGTACTGTTTGATAAAGAACGATGACAGATGTACAAATCAATCAATCTAGCATGCTTCTGTGTTATATATGGAATACAAAGTGTGGTTGAAAAATGTCCACATCGTTCTATAATGTCCTCTATACGGGGCTGACAGCCTTTTAATCCTCGGTGTGATTTTACATCTCAAAAATAAGGTAATAAATTCTGCAAAAAGTGAAGTATTACACTTTTTGCAAAAGGAGTTTCAAAAGGAGTTTCCAGTTCCTTTTTGGAAAGAAATTTATGAAATAAGATTTTAGTCACAACAAAGTTCAATGATACATGTCCAATGAAATATTACTACAAATCACTGTTGTGTAGGAAACATTTTGTCATTATGTCATCGTTGGCTTTTGAGTTGTGTCCGAGCGGGTTACACTGTGTTGCACAAAGTCAGCCGGGGCATGAGGTGTATTATATTGGTTTACAGTAATGCTCGCCCATTATTGGCTTCAGCACATTGCTATCCAACTTGTTGCATAACATCAACAGGATTACACACCAGCTACAGACACAAACATTCCCCGTCTGCCTTTCTGCCTCTCTCACTCTCAGTCTTTCACTGTCGACCATCTTGCTTCTCCCTTAATTTTCATTTTACCTCTTTAGTTATGTAGCTCCTGATATGATCGTTGACCCCTGGGACATGCTAAGTAGCCAAACAGGTGAGTTAGTATGTAAGAGGACTAAGGTCTCTGAACATCAGACCACCAGTAAGCTTATTACTAATCAGTGTGTATTGTGTTGGGTCTGGCTGCATTCTCTTGAGCTCAGGAGGGATCACAGCCACTTACAAGTGCAGCATATTTTCAAGCCTTAACTGCTGACAAACATTTCTCTGTTTCTATGCTTTATTAAACAACAAGGTTTCATACTTTACCACTAAGGGATTTATATGCAGTCACATATATATGTTTTGAAAGTGAACTTTTTTACAAAAAGGACAAAATTCCAGTGATATTGTTTAGAAAAATATCTTTTATTTCGTCTTTCAAAGCAGCAGTAACATTTTCCTTACAAACAATGGACGAACACAGAGTGACAGAGGAGGAAAAAAACAGATCTTTTTCCACTGTCTTTGCCTAATTATATTCTCGTGTTTTTCCTCCTCTCAGTCTTTTTTTTTTTAATTTTCTGTATCTGTCCAGTCACATTATCACTCTCACATACAGGCCTTCTTACACATACACACTCTTTCAATCTCCCTCTTCTTGCTTTCAAGCCTTCTTGACTGTAACTAGCTGGCTTCACGCTCTCCTGCTCTGCTCTCTCTTTCTCTTTAGCAGGCTCCAGACTGCAGCACAGGCTGAAACTCTCCGGCCAGACAGATGTCCTCCTGCTTCTGACGGACGATGCGCTGGATGGCGGGGGGCAGGCCGCGGGGGTTCCTGGAAAAGATAATGGCATAGCCGTCCTCGCAGCTGCCGTCTTCCTTCAGGGTGCGGCAGGCGTAGGTGATGGCGTAGTTGTCGTAGTCGGTGTCGATCACCCAGTAGTTGTCGCCTGGTTAGAAAGGAAGGAAGAGGTCAGCGAGTGGGAAGAGGAGTGAGGAGATATGAGAGGGGTGTGAGGGTGGGTATGTGTGCACAGCTGACCTCCGCTGGACAGGTAGCTGGCCAGTCCCTGGTAGTTCATGAACATCTTGCCGGGGCTGGCAGGGTCGGGGACAGAGTACTGGGCGGCCATGTCAGCACACACAACCCAGAAGCTGCAAGCACACACACGTCAGTGTCAAAGTGAACAATGTACGCCCACAACAAATCAACACTCTTTGGCTAATATCGTTGTCATTTTCTTTCAATTACAGGACATTTCAGCGGCGTAAACCTCAGAAATTCTAATGACAACATACTGTATCATCGGCATATGCATATACTGCAGTACAGTATACTTTACATTTCTCAAAACAAAGCCTGGATTTCTTTCAGTATGCAGTGGCATAATTGCTTAAATCAGCTGAATTTCTTTAACTTTGTTTGTGCTTTTACAAAATCACACCTGCTGACCCTGAAAACTGAATCAAGATGGTCTTTGTGACCAAACTGGCCATTTGTCCTGATCATAAGGGGTTTAAAGAGACGTGAGGTAAGATGGTTTTTCATTTGAATTATGTTATCTTATCTGCAGATAGTGAGTGAAATAAAATCACTCGCTAGCCCTCTGACTCACCCAAACAGAGTGACGCGTCCCTTGGAGGAGGCGGTCATGGAGCCGTCATCATCAATGGTGTACTCAGCGGAGATGTTGTCCTGCAGGAACAGGCCCTCTGGATCTTTCTTCTGCAGTGCGTACCACTTTCCTGCATACTGCGATGAAAAAGAAGGAGGACGGCGGTCAGAAAGGATTTTACTTACTTCTTTTTCAACATGCATGCTGTCGATGTGCTTCAATTCACTCACCCTCTTGGGGTCAAAGTCCCCTTTGACTGTGAAGCTGTCAACGACACAGGAGGCAGACAGGCAGTGCTCTACGCAGGACAGCAAGACCAGCAGCAGAGCCAGTTTAGAGGATCCCATTCTAAAATGAGATGCACATTAGTGTGTTAGGACCAGAGACAGACTCATTAATGACACAAAACCGATCTGTACTTACAATAATGCACCAACAATATATTTTCCCATTTGATATGATATGAAGAAAATAGTAATATTATGTGACATGCCGGAAAAAAAATGTATTCTGACAAAAAATGTTAACACCACATTACACAGTCTAGTGATTAACAAGTCTCTAACGTCAACAGTCACAGCTGACAGAACAGAAAGTTTACATCAAGTGCACAGTACACTTTCAGACAACACAGTCATAGCGTTTGCTGATCACTGCAAATACAATTAGAAGTAGAAGGTAAAATGAGTAAAACGGCAGTGTCTTACCTGTTTGAGTCAAAGAAGCAACACCAATTAAAAATCGACTGTTCGTGGTTATCCACCAGATTGAGTGTTGTGGGTCTTGTGTGTGTGAGACAACCTTTATATACACACTCCGCAGACAAGCTTATGGCTGATTTTCATTGCTTGGTACTAAATAAGGTGCTTAAATCTAGAGGTAATCCTGTCGGGCTGAAATACTTACCGTAATCTGGCTTCTATATAAAACAAACAGACCTTTATGTAACTGAAACAAAATAAAAACAGGCACATATCTGAGCAGGTGCAGGAGCACGTACACATAAACAGAATTTGAATAAGCACATGGCACAGCACAGATATTAAATTAAGTGTTTGGATTTGGAGTGTGGATTTTCTCAACCATAGCTAAACCTTTAAGTGTCAAAAGTTGAAATAAATTGCTGCAACACAAAATGAAAATGTTCTGTCTCAAATGCCTACTGAGTAGCAACAGAACAATTTGAGTTTAGGTCTCTGATGTCATTTTTGCAGACAAAACAAAAAAGTTGAAGTCAATGTCTGTTATGAAAAAACTTTCCAAGAGGGAGTTTCTGATTAAAGCCACTCCGGGGTTAGATGTTTTCAGTAAAGTGCCACACTGGTACATAAGGCACAAATCTGCTTGTGAAACCAAACTTGAAAAACTTCCAGGTCTGCGTCAGATCAACAAGAAAACAAGCTTAGACAATGTCTTGGCTATTCAGTTAATAATGACGTTCCACTTTGTCCTGAACATTTTCCTCTTAAGGAGCTTTAAATTCAGACAAATCTATTTTTCCACTCACCTTTGATGAGTTTAAACCATACATAGAATTACTGAGGTATTAATTACATAACTCGTTGGATACGTTGGCGAGTTCACCAATACAAGGACTGGGGAGTAATGTGTGGACGAGCACTGTTCAACGTCAGGCTGAATCACAGGAGAATGTAAATATTGCACTAGAATTTAAGTTAATTTCACTACAGCTTAACGTTTAATGTGTTTTCATATATTTCAAAGATGCTATCTTACTCAGAGTTATAAGTTCACTACATGCACGCATCCAAACCACAACAGGACTACTCAAAGTGCCACAATGAATAAATACTTCAGAGGTGAGTACAATAAACAAAACACCTACATGACTGGTTAAAACCGTGCCAAGGTTTAAACTTTGAATTTCAAAATCAAAAAATTATAGATATTAGAATTAATACATTATCTCACACCACTTGAGAGACACAATTGGACTACCTGGTTATTTTCTCTTCTTGTGGTTGAGTAATCAGTGCGTAATCCTGGAAGAAATAGCCTGTAAGCCTGTCCAAACTTTCCAAATAATGGGATGATCCGCTTAATAACACCAACACTCACAATGTTTGAGAAGTCTTTCACCACAGAAAAGATCACACTGGCAACACAGATATTAAATTTCGTGACAAAAGGAGAAGTGGAAATTAATATGACTATTATTTTTGCATGCATGCAGTTTTGCACTTACCACACACACACGCACACACACGCACACACACACACACACACACACACACACACACACACACACTCTCTCACACTCTGCTGTGAACTATTGAACTCTCATTTTCTGGATTAACCCCGGTCACATGAGATTACTGCTGGCATAACACTGTTTATCGGAAATAACAATCAAAGTCTTCTTCGTGTGTAGCGTTGCTCTTCTAGTATTCTCTTCTTAATTAAACTTATTCAATCTGTCGCTTTTATACACAAAATTAAAGAATAGTTATATAACTGCAGAATCGCCCCACACTGTTAGTAAACAGTCTCCTCAGCGACTAAACAAGCCAATCAAGGCAGACAATCTATTTTTTCCTCTGACTGCTGCTCAGTACTTTAATCCTACTTGTATGGTCTGGAATCGACTCAATAGACTCTGTGGATACCTCCATTCTTGTAGTTGTAAAGAAATATGTGATCAACAATGAGTACTTCTTTTGATCCAAACGTGGCTTATTCAACAGAGCACGCTACAAGCCTCAGGTCATTATCAACGTCTGCATTTGGCTGATAACCTGGACGGACCCGTGACAAGGCTAACACAACGATTACACCCTCTGCTGGCCATCATGTCTACTGTATTTATATCTATTTAAGTACTGTCACGTTCAGGGACTGTGCAGACACACACTGGCTAAAACCTTAAGCTCGTACTGTACACCCCATTTACAAAACATGGAGACATTTCCTGGTATTTGGGGTTGAGGTCCTATGTTGTTTGGTATATTGTGATGTAAAAACATATATCCAACACCAACATCCTGCTTTAGTACAGAAGACAAACACTTTGCCACCAAAATTGGACTTGACTGAGGGAGACCTAAACAAATTAACAAATGTTATGCAAGTAGGAAGAATAATTATCTAAACAACAATGTGCTTGAACTGAACCTACACTCCCGTCACTTTCTCGACGCCCCGTGAATTTCCCTCTTGTTTTAGAAGTGTGGCCGTGCAGGAACTGACTTAAATCAACCGCAGCATGACCGGCTTAATTACCTTTGCACACAGCTGGAGCACCGTGTTTGACTGGCCAGCATGAACCAAGTTGTTGGTGTAATGAAAGCGTGTGGAAACAATCAGAGATGCTCTTCACTGGCTGAGAAACAGGAGATACAGCTTGTTTCTCCACACATTCTGTTCAGTAAACAAGTCTCGTATCTCAACCTTCACCTCTAAGTGGACAGATGTGACGCGTCTATATAAGCAACGGTTCAGTCTCAGTTATGTAACATGGTTAATTAATATATATACAGCGTTTTACCAAAGCCTGTTTTGCATAATTTCAAGAAGGCCAAAAAAAAAAAGCCTCTGATCTTAGTGGCCCGAAACAGCGTAGCCCCCAATGTCTCTATAGTTCCTAGACAAAGATGCTCTGTATCATGGATAACTGAACTGCTGGCTAAAGCCCTAAATGTCTCTGATCCCTGGTGATCACAACCCGCTACTCTAAAGGGTCCAAAGTAGATAACGTCAGTCGAGGTACTGTTACATATTTCGGCCTCCCCGTTAAGAGGCACTACAATAACAATTGCAAAACTCATTTTTGGTTTTTTTTTTCTTAGTTTCTAAACCTGATTTATTTCTGAACCCTAATGAAGTAGTGAAAACATCTTCCTGCACAGAGCAGCATTCACATAGATCGGCATAGATAGTGGGTTTTACACAGGAAACATAACAGGTAGGCTACTAATCTATTATAGTGGAAGCAGATTATCTATTTGACCTTTTGTTTAAGGTGTTTACGAAACCTTATTATAGAGAGGTCCTCCCTGCTCTGAATGAAAGGATTAACTTTCTTACAGAAGCACAAAATGCCTCTCTTTCTCCACGTCGTATCTATGCGTGTTATTGACAGTATTCGCTCATTGATGTTGAATTAATGTCTATCTTCCAGCTGGCGTTAGGCCCTATCAGGATGCCACTGACCATCAGTCTCTTAAATAACGACAGTCATGGCTGTGGAAACCGGGGGGAAAGGACACTGCAGGTAGACTCGCACGTGGAGAAAGACGGAGAGTTTGGGTGCTGAGATAATCAGCTCGTGTCCTAACTAAATAGGGCTTATGCCAGAGGAGGCGTTGTTTAATAAGGACTTAAAGAGCTTGTACAGGGAGACAGACCTGCATGTGTGTGAGAGACAGACAGAAGTAGTATACTGCAGTAGACCACTCATCAACTGAAAAATATTATGAAAGACGTAGAATAAGCTCAAAATACTCATGAACGTGTTTCTCATACTTCTGTATTTCAAACATCCATTAAATAAGACATGTAACGGAAATACAGGAGTTACTACATTTGGATCCCTCTCTCTCTTTAAGAGTGCAAGAAGCCTGACTACAACTTTTTTTTAAATTTGTCACATGGAAATTATTGTACGCAAGGTACCATAGACAAGGATTTTGGCACATACAAGCGGCATTTTACACAAACTACATACATATTACCATTCACAAAACTAGATAGTGTGTGAGTAGGTCTTCTCACACATTATCAAAGTGACACTTTATATCTGTGCAAGAAAATGTGGATCTTTATGAATTACAGCAAATGATCTTTCTAGATTTTTATATATATCTACGACTTCATTCTTTTTTGGAATTGAGATTTGTAACTTCCTGCCTTAGACAACCACCAACACATCCTCTTCAATTACAGTTATTTGTATGTATATTTAAGTAAGTCCTTTTTTTACTTCTCTCGAGCTCAGAGAAGACCTTCTTAGAGTTTATTACAACTTACGTATCCAACTCCCAATGGAGTTTTTTATCCTCTTTTACAGAATTCGCTTCATCAACAGATGGATGGACAGACGGATATGTTAATTTTATAGCTTTTGTGTTAAATCTCTGTGTTTTTCATGCAGTATATTTTCCTGCAGGTTCATTTCATCTGTCTGTGCCGCTACAAACGTACAGAATGTACTGAAGCACACTGGGCGCTGTAAAATGTGGCCCACATATCTGTTACTAGATGATCAGCTGACAAGTTTAGCAGAGGCCGATCCCTGCTAACCTTCAGCTCTGTCTGCTGATGACAGATGGATTGTTTGGATTCAGCCCCCTGCCTTCTCCTCAGGGCTCTCCCTCACTCAGTCCGCTCATCCGGACTAACAGGGGGGATTAATTTGTACCTGCATTTGAATGTGTCCACTTCTGTTTTCCCCCTTTGTGTGTAACACCTGGGTAAGATTTGTTTTTCTTTAGGGGATTAACTGGACAAACCAGTAGCTTTGTGTTTTCTTTTGCTTTATCCTTTTTTTCCCTTTTATTTCTATTCAGAGAAGTTGGAAGTAGCTAATTCGAGGAAGCGTTGGACCGAGCGGGAGCTCAGTCACTGAGCTGAAGAGGGAGACGACAGGAGCATTTGGGAGAAGAGGAGGAAGAAGGAACCATGGGTGTGCAAAAGGAAGACGTGGAAAAGTTCCTCAAGGAGAACCCTGCATTTGCTAAACAGTACTTTGACAAGAAGATGAGCCCTGCCTCCATGTCAAAGGTGTCAGGACTCCCAGACAAGCAGATCGACTTCAGCCAGTTCAAGGACCTCACTCAGGTACATTTCATTGTTTCACTTCTTGTTTATTAAGAGAGAAAAAAAAGCAGGTAGAAACTATTGACCAAACATCGCCATAGTTGAGCAGCCAGAGTTACCCCACATAAACCTGTCCATATATAATATAACCTCTGCAAACGTCTGCACTTATAAGGAAGGTCATAATCATCTCTCCTGAAAACAAATTCTAAAAATTGGTCAATTTCTTGCTCTGTTTCAAGCTCGAAGAAAGCCAAATCATGTATGACCTGATCAAAGACATGCAGGAGAACATCAACGTGGAAAAGGTGGTCTTCAAGATCCTGAAGAGAATCAGTGCGCTCATCCACGCGGACCGCTGCAGCTTGTTCATGTACCGTCAGCGGAACGGCGTCGGAGAGCTCGCCACGAGACTCTTCAATGTCAACACGGAGGCAGAACTGAATGACTGTGTCGTGCCACCGGACTCTGAGATCGTCTATCCGCTGGATATGGGAATAGTCGGCCACGTGGCCCTCACCAAGAAGACCGTTAATGTGAAAGATGTCACAGAGGTTAGTGGGGAGTGATGACCATAAACTAATTAGAATGATGAAGTTCTATCTGGATGGGGTGCAGATGTTTGTTCGTCACGTCGTTCATGACACTACCACCAGATGGCGCCACAGCCTTTCATTTTTAAATCCTACACATAGTTTTAACTAGTAATTAAATGTTTATCTTTTTAACAATTAAATCTTAATCTCATAGTAACTCATGAATTAAATATGACTCAGCCAACCCGCCTTTTAAGAGGAGGTCCTGCTGAAAGTGTGACATGCAGACAAGTTTAAAATACATGGCACAGTTTGTATGTGAAAATATCAGCATGAAAACCAAAGCACAGCATTAAGGCCATTGCCTGGAATCTTATCAAATTTGTAATCAACATATGTGAGATTAAATCCACTCCTTAGTGAACATAAGATGAACCAATACTTTGTAATATCTTTCACACTGTGGTATATTTGCCTTAAATGTATCTGGTTCTACGGGACAATTTTGGGCCACTAGAAGACGTACACAGGACGATCAAAACTCAGGATGACTAGCATGTTGCGGAAGGAATATGCTGGACAATATTCCTAACCGCAAAAGTAATCCCAGTGAAACAGATATAGATCAAACCTAAAAAAATAGCATGTTGCAGATGGACAAGCATTGATAGTTCAAATTTGAAAAAGACTTGACTGTTCATCTCATGTGGGGCATGACTCTATTATAATGGGATAAAAAGAGACGGATATGGAGCAACCTTCAAATGATAACTGACATTCCCCATTATAGAAATAAGCTAAACAATAGAAGCCATCTAGAAATAAAATCATATTCTGTAATGCAGCTATAATTTGTGAGGTGGTTATCAATAAAGCACTGGTGTAAAAAGCACTGTACTGTGCAGCCCAGCTTTAAAACAATAGTTTGTGTAGCTTTAGCATCCATTCCTCTGTTTATGAAGTAAAAACTACACAATGTTTTGGTGTATTATGATTATTATACAAACATATACATATCAATACATATGTCCTGGCTGAATCTGTATGTTGTTATTAATTACATTTAACTAATGATGTGTGCAGACAAGTAAAGGAAGAGTTAGTGACACGTCTCTATGAGAGTGTAAATCCCCTTGTCAGACATAATCCATTTATTTCCAGATCCCATCAGCCCGTCAGCTCTAGCTGTGGATTAGACGCCTCTGGCATTTGGTCAGCAGGAATCTAAAACAGATCTAAACAAGCTCACTTTACACTGCCTCCATCCATACAGACTAAACTACATACTAAATATGTATTTTGTCCATTTCAATTCAGTGCTGTGGTTTCATAATGAAATCACCTTGATAATCAAGCAGTGGGAAACAGCTGGTCGATCCCATGATTGTAGGACATTTTGCTTTTGTTAAAAAAAAACATCTTCCAGTTCGGTGTAGGGATTTTAGGTACTTTTCCAAAGAGATTATTGTCAAATGATTTGTCACTTGGACTAGGTTTACAATAATGGTTTCGGTTTTGGTCCAAATGACTTAATGACTATTAAATTACTAATTTAATAGCAATAAGTGCAATTTCTCTCATGATATAGTAGGAACATAATTGACCTCTAATGAATCTACTCATGGCTCTTTACTCTACAATATACTAAATGAAAATGACATAATTTACATCAATTTATAGCACATTTACTGCATAATTTATGCGCTATTAAACTAATTTTGTACCAAATTTCTCTTTCAAAGCATTTTTTTTTAATGTTCGCCTTGCAAGTATACTTAACATTTACTCAAAACATGTGTTTTCTGTCTTCTAGAACCAGCATTTCAGCTCATTCGTCGACGACCTCACAGAATACAAGACCCGGAACATTCTGGCTACGCCCATCCTCAACGGCAAAGACATGGTGGCTGTGATCATGGCTCTGAACAAGACCACAGGACCACATTTCACTGCCGAGGATGAGGATGTGAGTCCCAACCACGCAAGCAACCACACACCAAGCACACGCAGCTAAACTCAGAGCAGAGCAGTTGGATGTTCAGAGGCCACATCATAGTTTCCTTGAGACACAATATTGAATAGAATTTAATTCATTTGTGCTGAGTATCTCAAATTGTGATTATAACTTTTAAAGACAACTGCCATCAGTGTATCTCTACAGCGGGTAGGGAATCCCCTCCGGGCTGACTGGTAGATCACTAAGGTCTTTACGAGTAGGATCAGTGTGTGTTCAGTATACGTTAGGTCAGTGGTTCTCAAACTTTTTCTGTCGCGCCCCACTTTGGAGGAAGAAACATGTTCATGCCCCACCGCCCCAACATAATTGGAACAAAATGGTCCATGTTGAACTTTTATTGAAATAACATTTTGTGACTCCTCCGTCTGTGCTTTTTCAAATAATAGAATAAAGAAACTTGCAATCACTTTTAAGTAAACCAGATTGCTCCATCAGACAAAAACCAATAAAATGTGCAATCACTCTGTTAGAACAATGCACATAAAGTTATATCTGTGCAAAAAAGAACTACAATTTGGCAAAAAATAGCTTATTGCAATTGGCTGCAATTAACCTGTTTTGCACTAAACATCTTTTCAAGATAACAATAAAGTGTAATCTGTGAAAAACTAAACAAAACAAGTTTCATACTATCCGCAGCTAGAGTTTTCAGACATAAAACACAGACTGGTCTCTCCTCATCTCCTACGACAATCACTGTGAAACCCAGAGCAAGATAGGCGTCATCATATTTTCTTCTTGGCTGCTTGCTGTTCGTCTCGGATGCATCGCTTGCGGTTGCTTTTCCGTTCCCGCCTGCCAAATGTCTCTTCATTTTGAACACTAAGCCACACATGTGAGTCGCCAAGGATCATGGCCGTCGCGCATGCGCAAGCGTAACCTGTTAACGGCGTAACGTAAACATTTACACAAAAGTACAGGCATTTCTCCATGTATTTATTAATTACTTTAAAAAATAAAAAATTAAATAAAATCTGCATTTCCCCCTGCGCCCCACCTGTAATACCACCGCGCCCCACTAGAGGGGCGCGCCCCACAGTTTGAGAACCACTGCGTTAGGTCATTAATCCCAATTAGCAGCAAACTAAGCTTCAAAATGGAAATAAGCTTTAGGTGGTCAAGTGCGTTATGGACTTAGATCTACAGCAGCTTAATGACTTTACTAACAGCATGTAACTTTAAGACAGCGTATGAAATCATAAGCAAAAATAAATAAAGTTCAGCACAATATATTATTTGTTGTTTTATTTGCCAGGGGTGCTATCTGCCTTAATTTCATAATTACCTACCTTTAAATTAACACACTAAATATATTGAAACATGTCTGGGACATGGCCTTTTATTAAATATGAAAAATGCACTTAATTTTAGATTCTTAGCTATGAAAATTGTCTCATAGTAACATAGAAACCAAAGGAGGAGGAAAAGTAAAAAGGTAATTATTTACTTGCACATTATTTCCTTTACGTTATCCAATCAGAAGTTTTGTCCGGACGCCGTATCATATCATGCTTTCCTTTCTCTTGTTTGTCCGTTTAGCTTTTTTTAAAGTATCTGAAAATTGCCACGTTGAACTTGAAGATCTACCACCTGAGTTACCTCCACAGCTGTGAGACCCGCAAAGGACAGGTGAAGGATGTTAACCTGCACATATTTTTAATAGAAGTCAGGAGTTTGGCTTTTCATTCTACTCAAATACAGAATGGCTGCATCCATCCACACTGCATGAGCTGACTGCTGTGTGTGTGTGTGTGTGTGCGCGCGCAATGTTTCTCTAGCTGCTGCTGTGGTCGGCCAACAAGGTATTTGAAGAGCTGACAGACATCGAGCGACAGTTTCACAAAGCCTTGTACACAGTCCGAGCCTACCTCAACTGTGATCGCTACTCTGTCGGTTTACTAGACATGACGAAGGAGAAGGTACTGTGTCTTTCTCCGTCTTTGCCTGTATTATCCCACTTTTGAGTTCAAGCATTTGTTACCAGGAAGTGTTGACTGCATTTTTGTGTCCGTCTTCCCTCTAGGAGTTCTTTGATATTTGGCCAGTGTTGATGGGAGAGCAGGCACCTTACTCCGGCCCTGTCACTCCAGATGGCAGGGTACATTCTCTTTATTTCACTTATCTAGCATTATAATCAACACTCTGCTTGGCAGTAGAGATGTCCCCCTTGTTCTTTTTCCAGTTGTAGCTGTTTTAAACCTAATTTGTGTTGTTTTTTACTCCAGGAGATAATTTTCTACAAAGTGATTGATTATATACTGCACGGAAAAGAAGACATCAAAGTAATACCGTAAGTAAATCTTTTGGCTTTAGTCTGAATATTGATTCAAAATGTGGTCATGGATTAATATGACAACAAAATACCAACAAATCAGCCTTAGTCATTTGAAGTCATCTACAGAACTAGCAACATTTTGGGGAACAGGGCTTGAAGCCAACTTGGTATATTTAAGTACCATGTTAAAAATACGATTAGCACATCAGACAGCAGAGTGTCAGTAGCCTTAACTTAGTCATATCTGCTAACTTGTTGCTCGTGTGTCACACAGCAATCCGACTCCGGACCATTGGGCCTTGTGTAGTGGCCTGCCTACGTATGTTGCTGAGAGCGGTTTTGTGAGTTTCTTTTCATTACATTACTACAAGCTGTTGAGTCCATTTAGAAAAACCAAATGAATGTACTTTTGCACATCTTCCACCTCCATCAATCTGTTTTATTTCTGCTCCTCAGATTTGTAACATTATGAATACAGCTGCCGACGAGATGTTCAAGTTTCAGGTAAGAGACCTTCGAGGGCTAAGCTCAGCTATAAGGTAAAAGAGAAGAACAAATCATTCCAAAAGGAAATTCAGAATTGTTCACATTGCATCACACGCGGTTGCTTGTTTCAGACTGAGCCACTCGACAGCAGTGGTTGGACCATTAAAAATGTCCTCTCGCTGCCGATTGTCAACAAAAAAGAGGAGATCGTTGGCGTGGCCACTTTTTACAACAGAAAAGACGGAAAGCCTTTTGACGATCAGGATGAGCAGCTCATGGAGGTATAATTACCGCTGAATTCTGTCACATAATTAAAGGCTTTTTTTGGAGATTTTTGTACACATTGAATAGTTCTGCATCATATTGTCGCTCACAATTGATGAAGTACTCAATGATGCAGTTATTTAAAATCAGAAACTGTGATACAGCTTATCTTGGCGTAAGAAAAAGTCTAGCAGACAATTTAATTTGGACTGGTCTTTGAAATACGCGATCCCTTTTCCTCAGGCTTTGACCCAGTTCCTGGGCTGGTCTGTTTTGAACACGGACACTTACGACAAGATGAACAAGCTGGAGAATCGGAAAGACATTGCTCAAGACATGGTGCTCTACCATATCAAATGTCGGGATGATGAGATCCAGGATGTCCTGGTCAGTACTCTGTACTTTTTAAAATTTATTTCAAAGTTGGCCCGTCAGAAGGACACAGAAATGGTTCAGCATCCATGTAACACACTTTCTTTTCAGTATGACTATCTCTCTGCTTTTGCTATTTAGTCAATTAAAACTTACAGCCGCAATGTTTTTCTCATTTCTTCCAGAACACCAGAGAGGTCTATGGCCGTGAACCCAGAGATTGTGAAGAGGAGGAGCTCCTAGATATCCTGGTAACACTGAAATTTGTCCAAAAAATGTCACCTAATCTTTAGAAGAGGAGCCAAATTGATACTTCCTTAAAATAATTTGTCTGTTTTTATCATATGTTTTATCTGACTCTGCTTTTGTTATGTTTATTCACCTCTTAGAAAAAGGAACTACCTCCACTTATTAAGAAGTTTGAGATCTACGAGTTCCACTTTTCGGATTTTAACTGCACAGAGATGGAACTGGTTAAGTGCGCGGTCCAGATGTACTACGAGGTCGGGGTGGTCAAGAAGTTCCAGGTCCCTCAAGAGGTGATCTGGACATGCATGCAACATTATTATACTGTATTATAAAACACCAAGCTCATGAATTAATCAGCTCTCTCCACTCAGGCGCTGGTTCGGTTCATCTACTCTCTCAGTAAAGGCTACAGAAAAATCACCTACCACAACTGGCGTCATGGCTTCAACGTGGGACAGACCATGTTTACGCTCTTAACGGTAGCGCTGTTATTTAATATCATGTTCTACTCTATTTACAATACAAGTTTCTGCAAGTACTTTATGTTCCATATCGATGGCTTAAGCCGAAAAATATATCTGAAAAATGTGTATTTTCTTTGTTTTAACCACTTTGTGTGTGTCTCTGTGTGCTCAGACGGGAATGCTGAAGCGGTACTACACTGACTTGGAGGTAATGGCCATGATAACTGCAGGCTTCCTCCATGATCTGGATCACAGAGGGACCAACAATTTGTACCAAGTCAAGTAAGTGCTGTTTAAAACTTTTTAATTTCTTAGTAGAAAAAAAAGAATCCTTCCTATACACTATCTAAAACTGTATCCATAACTGGGTATACACTTCAGTTAAACCTTTTTTAAAACACATGCCATATAAAAATAGTAAATAAATACAATACAAGGACACCAACACAGAGGTATAATCATTGCAGTTAGACATAGAGACATTTGTTCCAATGTTTCCAAAAACAAGAGGAATACATTGTGTCACTTTGTGTTGTCTCAGTTTAAGCCATTGTGATTTCATTTATTTTAATCAATCAAGGGACATTTAAATTTGTACATAAAATTCCACGACACAGCATAAAAGGTGGGAACATTACTAGTCACAAACATTAGACTTGCACTTTGACATCTTAGGAGCAAGATTCTGAATGCATCATTAAATGCCACCTGAAGCTTTTTTCATGTTTGCTTTACTATAACTGCACCACAAGCAGGCAGAGTGCAGTGCAGTGGGCTCCAACGAGATATTTTGAAAGTGAGGGACAATGAGTCAATGATCCTTCAAAAAACCTACAAAGTCATGTGCCATGTCAATACTGAAGCCTTCAACATGAAACTGATGGGGATTGTTGTTAATGTTGTTTATAATTTCTTTTTTTTTATGCCAACAGATCTGGCAACCCTCTGGCCAAGCTGCACGGCTCCTCCATCTTGGAACGACACCATCTAGAGATGGGGAAGTTCCTCTTGGCTGACGAGGTGAGAAAGGAGAGGTGAACTAGACTTGTATACGTTCCTGAAATCTCTTCCTTGTCTCATCAGTCGCCAACTATGACTGATGCCCATCTCTCTCATCTCTTCTGCAGTCACTGAATATCTACCAGAACCTTCACAGGCGACAGATAGACCACGTAATTCATCTAACCGACATCGCCATCATCGCCACTGACCTGGCTCTTTATTTCAAGTCAGCACAATCTCTCATTGACTCACTCTACTTGTTAATTCCCTCATTTTTTGTACTTTCTCTCCTCTCCTCTTTACTCTGTAAAAATACACGATGATCAATGGTAAACTAGCTCCTCTCCTCTCATCTTGTTAGGAAAAGAACCATGTTCCAGAAGATCGTAGACCTTTCACACACATATGAGGATGAAAAGAAGTGGGTCGAATTCATGTCTCTAGAAACAACCAGAAAAGAAATCGTCATGTGAGTACAACGAGCATGTACAATGTTCTTTGTTTGTTTTACATTTTCTGATCTTCTAAATCTTTTCCTTTTTTGTTTCAGGGCTATGATGATGACCGCATGTGACTTGTCAGCCATCGCCAAGCCTTGGGAGGTACAGAGCAAGGTGAGAAGCACAAAAATGTAATAAATCATTGTCTCACTGAATGATTGTGATCTGCTTTTCTACTGACTGTGTGTTTCTCTGTGTGTTGCTTTCAGGTTGCCTTGTCTGTAGCAGCAGAGTTTTGGGAGCAGGGTGACCTGGAGAGGACGGTACTGGAGCAGCAACCTATTGTGAGTTAACAAACTGTTATGTTTATGTTTGTATCTGTGTTAAAAAAATGTGCATATGTGAAAGCACATGTTGGTATTAGTAAATAACTATACATGTGGGCTCTCTGTGGTGTGGAATTATTACTCTCATTCACTTCATTTGCTTGCCTCGATTAATAGTTTGGTGTCAGGAATGTCAGAAAATACTGAAAAATAGCCTTCGCAATGTGTACTTTCAATGACCAACTTTCCAAAACACAAAAAACATTTCATAGAAAATTATATAAACATAGAAAAGCAGCAAATGTTCACTCTGGAGAAGCTAGAACTAGACCATTTTGGGCATTTTTGCTTACATTTCTGTCGGTTGACTAATCAATAAAAAAATAATAATATATATTTATTATATACAGTATATACGTATATCCGTGGCCTATTGCCTTGTCGATATATGCAGCGGTAAGGGTTGTAGATAAACACGTTTGGCTCGTTGTAGTGTCCACAACCAACCTACAGCTACACATCAAGTGTTTATTGTGCCATGATGTAACTTGGATTTCAGGCCCATTGAGCTCCTTAACACAAGACTGTTAAAAAACAATGATTTCTTTGTTAAGTGACTCGAACACTTTCTGTCCCTCCCACCAGCCCATGATGGACAGGAACAAGTCAGCAGAACTACCAAAGCTACAGTGTGGTTTTATTGACTTTGTCTGCACGTTTGTCTATAAGGTAATTTTTAATATTGCATTTCAGCTGATTATGTGTTTTTTTTTTCAGTTTCCCTAAAGCAAATCATCTATTTAGTATATATTTGTAGTCTTCCTGTTCTATTTTTTGTGTTATTTTGTCCATAAACCTTCTGCCAAAATAAAAGCACAACCGCTCACTTATTTTTTCAGTGGAGCGTCAACAACCCCCCCCCCCCCCACCTAATCTGCTCTGTTTTCATCTTTCACCTTTTCATATTTGTTATTTAATTTCAATTTGTACTCTTTTCTTCTCAGGAGTTTTCGCGCTTCCACCCACAAGTCCAGCCCATGTTTGATGGCATCCTGAATAACAGGAGGGAGTGGAATGCTAAAAAAGAAGAGTATGAGGCTAAACTCAAAGTCATAGAGGATGCTAAAGACGCTGCCACAGCCAGTAAAGGTGCATTAAAACTGTCCAATTTATTAGAACTGCTACCATGACATTTGCCCAATTTCTCATTTGTGTGAACACTGAAGCTAAAATGTTCAAATTGGTTGTTAGTTTGAATACTGAAATTGGCCAAAGGACCAAAAAAAAAAGGCCAATTATGTTGCTGATCCACAAATGTATTGACTCTTCCCTTTGATATGTCTTTGTCTATCAGCTCCTGCAAACAGTGGTGGAGGCTCAAAGACCTGCTCTGTGTGCTAAAAGGTCTAAAAGCCGGAGTGCACACAGACGGCTCATGACGGACTGACTCCAGAATTACCTGAGCATCACAGCCAGCCAGACAGTCAGTCTCACCGCCATGAAAGAAATGCAATAAAGTCATGAAGACGGATACGAGAGTGAATGGACAGTGCTGTAGTATTCCTTCAGATAAACTGGTTCCGATCAGAAAAGGAAAAACCTGAACCAGGAGAGACGTTTTGTCTTTAAGGGACACTAACCAGGTGAGCCAAACATGTAATTCAGAACAAAGCAGGACACCAGAACATGACTACTCTAGTCATGACGACTTCTAATTAAGGTTTTTACTCATCCTCATACAATATCAGCTTCCTTGTTTTCAGATGGTGCAAAGATGCTGTGTGTGTGCTTGTTTGTTTGCTGTGGGACAACATTTTATATTTATTTTTACGATTTCTTTAATTTAGCTATTAAGCACAGCAAAAATGAGAGGATGAAATGTGTACATACATCTGTGTAGTAACTGATACCCATGTACAGCACGTAATATATGTCAGAGCGAACACATTATCCAAGTAATTCTTCGCTGCAAAGCCCGAGTCACTGTCGAGTCTATATCACGTTTTCAAACATACTGTATATTGTACATTGATGTAAGATTCATTTAGGGGTTCAGAATGTAAATTCTGTTAATGGGTGGATAGAAATATATTTTAATTACTATACATATATTTCAAAAATGATAATTCCATGTTTACTCCTTCCAGTCACTAATCATTTACACATGAGTTTGTTTACCGTGACTGCAGAGAGCCAAAGGTAGATGACAAGCTCGAGACCGCTGCAGTAAAAGATGTATATTTACTTTAGGAGAGAGATGCGGAATATAAATGTTGCTTTACTGTCTGCAAACAAGCCTTTAGTTGCTTAATCGTGATGCCTTCATACTGTACATACATCTGAGAGAGTAGCTGAGAATGTTATATTTTATGAAGATACAAATGTCTTTTTAGATAAGAGCACATTAAATCTAAAATGAGTTGGTTCCAGATCAGATTAACTTTGCTATGACCTGAATGACTGGACCTCAATGGCTATTCTAACTTTCAAGCCATTTCTCGCCAACTGCTGCAAAACGTTACCACTTATTAACCCCTGATGGGAAATTCATCTTCTGCACTGGTCCCATCCTAAATAGGACTGTTGTGAGGTAACCTTGCAAACCTTTTATCCCATCATGCATCTTCAAAACCAATTTCTGCAGACTTCTAGAGCTGATTGAGACAAAAGAACAACTTCTTGTAATGACTTGTACATACTTCATTCCTCTCTGTAAATACATTTAAAAAACATATTTTCCAGTTGAAATAGAGATGCTTATTTTTAAATAGTGAAAGTGTGTGATTTATAAGCGCTGGCAAATGACTCAATCATTTCTCATTCCCTTAAGTGATTGAAATATGGTTTTATCATGCTTGCCTCAATTTACTGATGTACAGGAATCACATACAGATGTTTATGTATCAGAGATCACCATACTGTATTAGGCAATAAATGTACCTTAATATGCAGCAAACATGCCCCTTAACATATTTAAGAAGACTTTACTTTATGTTCAGTATTTTAAAGCTTGCCACTTCAAATGCTCCATGTGAACTATGATGACCCAAATAAAGCAAATGTATTTTTATGACTGAGTGAATTCATTTCCTAGGATCCTGAAACGGAAACTTGTTCACAAACTAAAATGACGGACTTGCTACGTACCGTTTGGCAACTCACTATTCACTTACTTAACATTCAGGAAATTGACTTACAGTCATATGACTAGTTTAACTTATTGAAAAGACTCATTTGATTTGAGTGTAACATGTAGAAAATGTACTAAAACCTCATCTGCCACCACAATTATAATAGCATGTAGTATATAATGCTATAAAAGGTAAGGGAGCGTTCATAATGAAGGTTACAATATTACAAAACACACAAGAGTATTGAGGGAACACTTCTGTCCACACAGCACTTTCTACAACTGGTCCCTGACCCCAATCCTGGGATTGCTGCTAAACTAGGCCAGGATTACAACCATGCTCATCTCCTACTGAAGGACAGGTACACGCTCAACCTCACACACACACATACTGCAGTCACAAGAGATGTGTGTGTGTGCTACAGTGTATTCTGTCTTTGTATGACATGCTACTGTCAAACTAAACATGAAGACTGACTAGGAAAGGTTCATTGTTTAAAATCATTTTCTATTTTAGTGTAAAGACAGACTCTAAACAATAAAAAAAAACAAATGACAACACTTTGATTATTACATGAAAAATATGTTTTTGTTTATTGGGTTTGAAACATAGTGCCGCAGGTTCGGTGATCATTCATTTAAGGATGGTGTCAGAATTTGCTGCAGAGAGGAGAGAGAACAAGAGGGGAAAATATGTAAATAAGACATTTTGTGGAGATAATGTGAACAACAATAAAAGCTTTGTTTTGGTGACGAACAGGAACCTGTGTTACCTTCAGACAGTTGTTTGTAGATGCGCTCCTGCTCCTCTCTGACCACCTTCTCTGCCTCCTCAACCCTCTTCTCCTCCTCAGCAATGGGCTTTAGGTAATCTGGACAAGAACGACGCCACAAAAATGTATTTCTTTGAATGTGGACTTTTACTTTGCACATGAGCTGGGATTGGCTTAGGTTTACTGGACTAAATGAGACTTTTAAACATTTATATTACTTCACTTCTGTTTAAATGTTGCCCTTTAAGTTTGGACATTGACACTATGACACATTTGCGCATGCGCAGATATTGACTTACCAAACCTCTGTTTGCCATAGAACACGCCGATCAGCAGAGCAGACCATCTGGCCGTCTGAAATAAAAGTGATTCACAGGTGTTAACTGGTGAAACGGCTATGCCCAACCAGCTAACTGAGTGTTCATAGTATGTTGTTTAATATACCCAGTGCGATTGACCTCATTGGTGTGACTGTGTTAAAGACAACTGGCCGAGAAATATATCTACAGCTAGCAATAATAATCACGAACTTCACATCAGACAGATGTGGAAGATGCCTCGATTGTTAACCTCCAACTGTTTGTCTGGAGTAATGTTCAAGCCTGTCAATGTCATTGCTAGCATTAGCTAGCATGCTACTCTAGCAAGTAACATCAACGACAGTTCACCTGAAGATGCACGTATAGAGGAAAATTAGTTTATTCCCTTTAAATTGACACAATCCCAACGATGACATGCCATCTTCAGGGCAAATAATGTGTGTTATTATTACCTTGATGAGCGGCGACACTGCGACCGGAGGAACCATGTTGAAGCGAGGAAGTCGATCACTTCCGGACAGAGCGGAAGTGACTTCTTCTTCGCTTTTTTCTTGATATGAGAGGACAGTTTGAAACCTCCAGGGCTACGATTCACTGTTCACCAAACGTCATTCTGTAATGTAACATTTCCAGTGTTGTTTTTTCTTTACTTTTTACTTTTTCACTGCAACAATGGACTAAAGCAACAGACGATGACCGTTTCATAGTGGACTCACTAGCTTCACAAGGTAATGATGCCTAAACAGAATTAATAATACTTAAACATGAACATTAATTATATTTATTTGAGGCTGCAGCCTACATACCAATATCTAGTTTATATTACTCTATTATAAATGACTTAAAGGGAGTCACTAGGTTACGTTACAATAAGCCTCTCACATTAATAAATAAATAAAATCCTGTTCATACATGACAGCAGAATGCACCTTATCATTTATTATATGAGGCACTTTTATTTAGTTATATCAAAGCCATGCAGGTGCACTGCCAGGAAGTCTGACTCCCCCGGAAACAGCTCAAACACAATAAATAAATACATATACTAGATATACAGTATACTAGATGATTTCCTTAATTAATCAATTTATTTTTACAAAGCCCATTCAAGACCAATTCATTTTATTTTCATCGATTAATCAACTAATCATGTCAAAATAAGTGTACATTTAAAAAGCTGGGTAGATGTACCAATCATTGTTCTTTTGTTTTATCTTTAATCTTCACAGCGGATGACAAACTTGTACTTCAAATCCAAATCCCAGTATGAAGTTTGCTGTTGTTGTAGTTTCTGATGGCTGCCACTAGATGTCACCTCTACCCTTCTTACATACAAACTGCGCAGAGAAGTCATGATTGAGGAGTTGGAATTTCCTTGTTGAATGGGGAAAGCCAGTTTAAATTGTCTTAATTTAGCCTTACACACATCAAACACCTGCACACACATCACCCAAGTTCACAAGCATCACACCACAGTGTATGGTGCATGCTATTGTTAGATGTACTTATGGAACAGGAGCACTCTCTTTATAGCAGACATGCTCTTACTTTAAACAAAGGACAAACTAAGACGTGTAGAGAAAAGTCTAAATTGTATTTATGTTTTTCACAATTGTATGTACAGTGTTATAGAGGAACAGTCGTTTAGTCTACATGTTAAAACTTGAGACACCCGAGTTAGTTTGGGAGCACAGATAGCAATGGAATATACACACAGCATCATATCATGGACATTAACTAAAGACAAAATAACCAAGTAATGTTTACAACATATAGCTATTATTATAAAAATGCAAAACACAGTAGAAGGTTACATGTACACATACAGTGCTGTGGAGTTTCTGAAGGCAGACAGACATATGCAAATACTTTTCTAACAAACGTTTTCAACTTTACATGATATGCTGCAAGTAATATCCTCATCAAATTGTTTTGTTTTGTTGTTTTTGAGGAAACGAAACAAAAAAGAATCCAGATCTATGAATCAACCTCAGACTTGTCCAAATTATTCATCAATTATAATGCTGTTGAATAAATAATGAATGACAATTCTGTCTGATTATCAGGCGAACCAAACATTTTTTTCCAATGTATTATTAATAAACATAATAAATAACATGAACAATATCAGTGTAAAACAATAAACCCAGTTTAGGATGTTTCTAATCGTTGTCATAGATGCAATCTGAGAAGAAAATGTGATATTCATTTAAAATATATTTTTATATTGATTTAGGTCCACTGTCTGGATATTTATAAATTCATATGAAATGACGAAAGATTAGCTGTAAAACATACCATCTCCAATGTCATCGTAGATATCTCCATCGCTGTAAACAGAAAGGAAACGATCAGTACAGACAGCATATTGTCAAGTGTCTCTTTCTCGTGTGAATGTTCATGGTACTCACTTCATATCAATGTGGCCAGTCGATACGTAGCCAACTGTAAAACACACACGGACAATTTTGTGGCACAACGAATGGGGGAAAAAAAGCAACAGAGGAATCTTGAACACATGTTTTGATTTATTTTCTTTGCAAACACAAACAGTAACAAGCAGCAGCTACTCACGCTTGCCATCCTCGTTCCGACAGATCAGTTTGTTGTCCACGGCTTTAACAATGACGTCAAGTTTCTCTCCTGCTTTGACTGGAAGCTCTTTCACACTCCACTTCTTATTGAGAAGTGTCGGGCAGATGGTCACCTGGTACAGCATCTGTATCTCCCCTTCATACTGAAAGAGAAGGACATCATCAATATTGTGACTACAAAGATATTTTAATTTTACGTTCTTGATGACAGCACGTCGGCTTTTCATGTATGGCAAGCAAAAGTCAAACTTTAAATTAACTAGGATTATTATACTAACATGATAATGAATTTTGATTAAAAGTATTAATGCATTTAAATTAGGGAGCATTATAGAGCAGTTAAGTTTTTCAGCAGGTGAGATCTTGGTAACACTAATATAAATATGCTTAGAGACATAATAGAGCGACTAACTTTAAACTTTTTCCTGAACTCCTTCTCCTCTTTCTCAAACTTTTTCTGCTTCTTCGGGTCCATCTCTTCTGTCTTGCTTTTGCGTCTCAGATGTGGAAGGCTGGAGAACAAAAGCAAATGATTCTTTGGTTACTTCATATTTTTTGTCAACCAAAATATGTTTTCTGAGACTTCTGAAAAATACAAGAATCTAAATGATTGAGAAGGTTATTTAGTTTTAAAAATGGATGTACTTGTACCTGCTGATGGGAGGAGGGGGAGGCAGATTTTGAGAGTCAACATCATCGTATATATCCTCATTGATTGCTCCTTCTAGAAAACGCATGGAAGAAGAAGTCAGTAATTAGTAAAGCTGATATAAAAGGAAGTAATTTATGCATTTAGTACAAACATAACTTATTAGAGATAAAAGTGTAGAAGCAATGTTATTTAAACTGCTAACCACTACGAGTGGTTATAACAGACCAAATAAATGAAGTAAAATAAAAAAACAGTTGCTCTTAAATAGAGCAACATTGTGTTTTGTAGAGAAGAATAAAAATCACAAGATGTTTTCATTAAATTAATGAATTAAATTAAACATTGTAGTATTATCACAGCGAGCAATACCTGAATTCCCCTCTGCAGTAAACTGGCTGGGTGGAGGCACTCTGGCACAAGAGGAAAAAACAAAATCATTAAAATGTTACATCATTTATATCATCAACTAAAAGTAGGTTAATATGATTCAAAGCAGCCCAAATGAATAATCATATTCATGATTTACCACACAATATCTGAATTAGTAGGCCTATACTTGAAGGTGTTAGCAGATGCTGCCTTGATTTGTCTGATTACGTCAATAGTCGTACATCAATGTGAGGCATGCAAATAACTCGAGAAGATTAGTAAAATCACAGATAATCAGCTGGACTGATTGTAATCACAGAAACAACAGTAAATTAACATCCGTCGGTGTTATTCAGTAAGAGGGTAAGAGGTAGAGTGGCTGATCTGGGGAGAAAATCAACATTTAACAGCAACTGAGAGGAAATGTTTAGCCATTGAAAGGGGAGTGGCGGCTGAAAGATTAGGGATTAATAACAGTTGACAGTAGGTCTGTGATCAGTCTTACTACTGAGTGTATTTTACACTTTAGTGCTGTCAGTACGTCTGCTCCGCTCAAACATCCGCAGGAAGCTACGAGGCTTTGTAGAAGGAGACCTGGAGTCCAGAGGACTAGAGAGCCAACCAAGCATGAATAGACCTGCATTTCTTTCTCTAATCCATTTTCCTGTATCTCAAGCATATTGTACTGAAACACTCAATCACCATTTACCAATTTCTTGTAAATATACAAATCAGTTCCCACCTGACTTCCAGGTTTGAATCAAGAATATCATCATATATTTCTCCATCGTCATCTGGTAGCGGGGGCAGGACAACTACAGGACAACAGCGAATGCATTACATAATCGGTGACATGTTTTGTCTCAGGGAAGCAACCTTGACATCAGCTGTAACTGGTTATAATGGAATGAGTTATACAATTGCATGGTTTTAAGCATACCTCCTGGTCCTTTCATCCCACTGTAGAGAGAGAAGCATTTCAAGAAATGAGTCATTTCTCACTATAGATTGGAGAACATGTGGCAAACATGAACAGTCAAACTCCACTAGCAATGTTAAGTGTAACACGTTGATGTAGAGTTAGAATGTATAATTCCGTACCTTTTATCGGCAGAGACCACGTCGATGTCATCGTATACCTCGGGGTCGTACGCCTGCTGAGCTTGACGATTCTTCAGACTGTTGAAGTCAATTTCCACTGAAGTGGTCTTCACATAACCAACTGTTGGAAACAAAGAGTAAAATATTGGGTAGATTTATTTTCCCAAATTAGGATTAGAGATGTAATTGAAAGTCTTGTCCTGTATTCACAGATTGGACTGGAGGGATGTTATGGCAAAGATAAGTGAAGACAATGAGACCAACGAGGGATAAATATGTGAGCTTACTGGATCCGTCCTGCGTCCGTCCCAGCCACCTTCCCTCCGGGTTGCCCTGCACACGTATGATGTCAACACAGTCTCCCTGCTTCAGAGCCAGGTCGTTCTTACTGCTTCGGCAATCCACACGAGCCTTCCCCTGGTGGATGACCTCAATAGGGCCGACCAACTAACACACACAGCCGTGCACAAACGTATATGCAAACACACAAACACAAAGAAAATCAACAAAAATATTAGGTTGTTACATTTATTTATGACATGCTCTTGGCAGAATATTTGTCACTTTTTTATGCTCAGCTAAGCTAACCCCCTGCTGGGTCTAGCTACTTATTTAGTTGCTGTCTTGTTTACTCACTTTGAATTTCTTTCTGGCATCTTGCTCCTTCTTCTCACGTTCCTTGTGCTCTTTCTTCTCAGCCTCCAGTCGTTTTTTCTCCTCCTTCTCCTCTTTCTCCCTCTTCTTTTCTTGCTGTTGTCCAACCTCTTCCCTTTTGGGAACGAGAGAGAGTTGACAATGGGCAATAATTATAAACGTGAGGGATTGACACATGAACAAATCCACTCACTGGTTGACTACCAAGACGTTGTTAAGATTACAAACTCATTAACAAAGAGGACAGCCATATAAATGTCAACATGACTGATTGGCTGAAAGAGTTCAACTACGGATAAATACACATATACTAAATCGGATTCACAGACACGGTAGAATTAGTGAGATGTGGGATAAACAGGTAAAGATTTAATGAAGAACGCTCTCTCTCACCATCGTTCATCAAGATCCTCATACATCTCTCCGTCATCATCATCATCATCATCATCTTCCTCCTGGGCCTAAACAACGCATGAGTAAAAAAGAGCAAATAGAAATAAATTACTCTCATACATCATAACGTATGTATGTCACACTTCTGCAGACATTTAATGCACATTTTCTATATTTTAAAAGCTGAGCAGTAGTCTGCTTACTTTGAACATTTCAAAAATGACGCGCTGCACACCTCTAGTGTCTTTATGAGCACACATGCATGTTCTTATATGAGTATTCTTATGTATGTACGTTTGCATCTGCACGTGTGACTGTATGCATATTTGTATTTATGTAAAAGTAAATCAGCATGTCTCACCTTTGCCCTCAGACTTGGGTGACCTAAAGAGAAACAATTAATCAACATTACAAGATAATTTGATCCTTGTGCAATAGCTACGATCATCATGATCCGACTCATACTTCAGATCCGACTATTTTCACTCTGTTTAGTATTTTAGTAACATTCACAGAGAGTGGCTCAGACATTTTATCTTTTGATTCTAAATCATGTAAAACCAGTTACGTGTCACTCAATGAGAACTAAACTTGACTGTCTTGTATTGATAGAAATAAAAAAAACAACCTTTGCTTTAGCCATACAGTATATAATTTACATAACCATCCCAAATTAGCTACAAAAGATGGTAACAGTAATTAAACACTAACAAGATATGCTGACTAAAAACGTTCCTTTTACGTGTGTCTTGGATAAAGTACAAGGTTCAGCAGCCCTCCTCTGTCTTCCTGTGGTGCTATAAATATAAAAGCCTTGCCACATGTGATCATGACACATCACGTGTGATCAGATAGTGATGTTACTGGACCTGTAGATGATGGTAGAGGTGGAGGAGCTTTGCTAAATTCATCGACGTCATCATAGCATTCATCTTCCTGGGTCCTGAAAAACGTAGTCAGGATTTAGTTTTGAGTTAACTGGAGAAGCTTTCCCTAGAAAGCATACAGTGTATATATCTTTTGTAAGTGTGTTTGTGTGAGGTTTACATGGCTCCAGGGTGTCGGGGGGGCAGACTAGGAACTGCAGGCTGTGGGGGTTGAGTCGGGGTCACATGGTTGAGATGGTTACTGGGGTGAGAGGCCAGAGGAGTTGAGATGATGGGTTTCTTAAAGGCGCCAGGACCTGTAGCAAAACCACATGGTCCCAAAATAGAAAGCTTACTGCAAGTGTACAGATGAATAGATGGATAGATTTGTCAATCCTCAGAGAGTTAATTAGGATAGTTGCCCGCATGCAAAATGAAACCCCAAGTCGGACACGTCCCAACAAACAATATGTGACATTGTGAAAATACTCTATTACAAGTAAAAGTTGTGCATTCGAATTGAACTGTCAGAAAAATCTAGTAAAAGGTCTCAAAGTGGAAGTGCTCATAATGGAGAAGAATGGCCCATTTCTGTGTTTTTATATTAGCTGCAGCTGATTTTAACTACTTTATAAATAATTAAATTTTATAAGTAACTAGTGAACTAGAGTAAAAACTTTACAATGTTGCTCTAAAATGCAGGGAAGTTGAAGTATAGAGTAGCAAAACATGGTGCAAGTACCTTGAAATTGAACTATAGCACTTGAGTAAATGTAATTAAATCACAAACTATAGTTAACAAAACAAATATATAATAGAAATGTAGCATTAAATGTGTTATTTTTGGTCCAGTATTTGTCTGTGTTAAGACACATTTCAGCCACCAGCCATCCTTCTCCTCTGACTGGAAATTAATTCAGGTCGGGTGTGTGTTTAAAAACAGAGCCTCTCACTCGAAACTATCCCTTTTTGCAGGAACTTACTTCCTCATGTGGGGAAACAAACTCAGCTGTGAGAGCAGAGAGCGAGGGGGGAGGAGGAGAAAGGAGAAACTGGACAGGGAACTTGGCCGGGGGAAATAGAGGAACCGAGCGTGTTTCTGTGACTAAAGCAGCTGTACTGCAGCTTCTGTGAGACTTGCAGTCATTTTGCACGGAATAGACAAAATGCAAATTGAGCTGCTGTATGAACATATCTTAAAATGCAAAGAATAATTGACTTTGAAGTTATCATGCACGAGCAAAATAAACTCAAACAACTGCAGGTTACACATTGCTAACATCAGTAACACACCACATTAACTTGTGAAGCGAGTCGTTTTCACACTTCTGAAAAGCGTTCTGGAAGTCTGTCTGAAGTAGTGCTGCTTCTGACAGAGAGGAAATGCTCTTGAGACAACAATCAACCTCTTCACAGCAAGTGCCTTAAGCTTAAAGAGAGTTTTCATTATATGATTTTGAAACAAATTATGCTGAAAACATTTGCAGTGTTTGGTTTGCTGTATTTGTTGCTCACGGATTGGGAGCAGAGGGACAAAGACGTGAAATACCAAATGGAAAACGAATGCTGTGAATGCAGCTAAGTTGAAGTATTTCTGCCTGTGGGTTCACATATGTGTACCTGCTGCAGAATTACTCTGCTAAAACTCTTTTTTTTTTCCAGCTGTTTAAGTCAAGTCATTCCCCTGCCTTCCTGGTTATAAATTAGATATATGAAGGAGATTTATACCGAAAAGTAATAAAATGTATACGTTACTCTTCAAACCCTTTTATGATTCTCATTCCATTCGTAAAAGTTATAGGATATATTTAGTTAGTAAGTTAGTTCAGCTTTATTTACACTAGCCATGATTTTACTTGAATGAGGCCATATTTCTGAAATCACTGCAACCCCAAATTTTTAATTTTTCAGTTAAAAAATCTCCCAAAATGAAGGACATTATAGTGCGTCAAATAATTCTCCACAATTTAATTTTAGTGGAGAAAAACTACGTCATATCATATCAAATATCAGCCTTAAAGGTCATAAGAATCACAATCAACCTTTTCAGTCACACCTCGTCATCACACATTGTATGTAAACACCAGCACCGCAAGAGGGTTTAGTGTCTCTGACTTCAGTTCACTCCAGTTGTAAATTGTCTTCTGTCAGAAATCTCTTGTTTTTTTAGGTTGAAATCTTTACCAATTCATTAAGTAATGGTTTGGATTTTAACTTTATACTTCAGTGCTATATATCTATACTTAAAATCGACCTGTTGTAGAGCTCTTTATAGCCTGCAAGAGTAAAAGTAAGAACTGTTAGCTAAATGAAGAATGCTTGCTTGAGTTTATCTGTGGCACTTAACGTGTGATCACACATTTTTTGGATACTGAGTGTTTTACGCTCTTATTAGTTCGGCGGTGCCTCAGACTACACTTTAAAAAACTTTGCAAAATGCGACCGTGTAATGTTTTGCACCACAGTGACAATTGATTTAATTTGTGTAAATACTGTAACATATTCATTCACTGGATTGGTGGTTGTCTCCTCATTATGAGTAACTTTTTTTAATTAAGCCTTACTTACCATTATCAGAGGCCACAGCACCTCTTTTAAAGCTCTCCAGGTTGACTCTGGGGGGTCGGTTGGGCTTGGCGGGAGCAGGGCCCAAAGCTAAACTGTTGGTGAGGGGGTTTCGCTTGGGGCCTGAAGCTCCATCGCTGATATTGCTGCTCATCTGAGGAGAAAGGTTTTGAGGTTTTTTGATGCTAGGTTTTTTACTGGCTAGAAGTTTTGGAGGAGGGACGGAGTTAGAACTGAGGAGCGGTTTGTTGGCTCCGTCAGCTTTCCCGCCACTATCTGACTCCTTGTTGAAGTTATTCTGAGCACTCCTGAAGTTGGACGGGGGCTTAAAAGCGGAGTTTGGCAGAGGCGAAGGTTTGTTCGCAGTGTTTGGCAGAGGCGAAGGTTTGTTCGCAGTGTTTGGCAGAGGCGAAGGTTTGTTCGCAGTGTCCAGATGGCCTCCTGCCATCTCTTCATTTTGCTGCCGCAATTTTATAATGCTGCTCCTCGGTTTTTGTTGTAAACCTCTAGCGCTGTCTTCTTTCACCCAGCTGGGCTTGGAGTTAAATGCCGGAGACGGTTTAGGAAAGGCCGGTTTGGAGTCGGACAGAGTGGCGCTCGGAGAGGGCTTGTTGAGCGGGGGCTTCTGTAGAGGGCCCTTCGCTTCAGGAGCCTGCGAGAAAGGTGACTTCAAGGGTAGCTGCTGTTTATTGACAACAAAAGGTTTTGTGTTGGTGTCGTCCTGGTTGTTTCCAAACCTGCTTGCCAGGGCTTTAGCTTTGTTTGGTTCATGTGCCTCTACGTCGCTTTTAGATTTCAGAAAATTGGGTTTAGGAGTAATATTTATCGCACCGCCTGAGAGGCTATCGAGGACAGGTTTCTTCGTCTGTATGGTTGGGCCGGAGGAGAGGGTGGGATGCAGAGGTTGTTTGATGCATCCAGCCGGTGGAGAAGTCTCATCGATGCTCGTCCCAGCCGGTTGGAAGCGAGCCATCATGGCCTTTACATCCGCTTTCTTTTCCTGGAAAGAATAGAAGAGGACCAGAGAAGGAGTCAAATATCAGAATACATAACCAGAAGTGAAATTGATATTCGGATATTCTGTGCATGCCAGAGTACAAAAATGAATTCAGCCATTGATAGTCCTAAAACCGACACTGCTGTACAATTCAAAAGAGGAATAAAAGACAACAGAATGCACATAGACTGACATGAAAGTTCACATAGGAACAGAAAGTTGCACAACTTTTAAAATACCTTATTTGCTGTCAGGACATTTCCTTCTCTGATTTCCACTTGTGCAACTCTTGCTCTCTATCTCTGTTTTATCAATTTATCTGTTTGTTTGTCTCTTTTCTTGTTTGGCTCGTCCGTGTTAACACAAACCATGTCAAATACATATAGAACAACTTCACACACCGGTGTGGCTGAGGAGGTACAAGTTGCCATTAATCAGCCATTTAGTCGTTTTGAATTGTCCTTAAGAAAAATACACTGTACCCCGAATTAAGCAGACAGATAAAACTTAAACAACTCTTGAAAGCAAATTCTAATATGTTAATTATACAGTACTATAAAAAAGATTAACTGGTCACTGCTCGTTCCAGGTAGACAAAGAGCTTTATTGCTTTTCAGACCACAGTCCATGTTGACTTCCTGCCACATTCTCCAGTGTAGGTAAACAAAAGGTACTCTTTTCAAGTATTTACTGTGGAAGGCGAGGGCGAGAGATATTTACAATATGCCTGTTTTGAGGTTGAATGAACTTTAACGACTAAATGGTTTATCGTGTGTTGCAGGTTGATTGTTTATTACACTGAAAAGAAGTCCATAGAAATAAGTCTACAGTGTTGCTCTAGCTATGGCATGATTGGATAAGCCATTCAAACATCTGCAATCTGAAAGTGTCTGTCCAACAGCAGAATGACCAATATGCCCAAAATAGCAGGTTCGGTCAATTTCAGTCGTGCAGCTGCTTTACAAAGTGCCACAATGAACTGACCAAGTAGCAACCACACCTTTGGTAATAAGGCAGGTTTGACTGGAGTCAGCGCCATACAAGGAAGTGGAGATAAGAGCATGCTATTCCTACAGCGGAGCAGTTAAAGTGAGGGAAAACTGTGCAACGGAAAGAATAAATGAACTGCATGAACCTAAATGGGAAGTTGTACATCAGAGCTTAACAAAATATAACACCCAGCTAGAACGTTGTAAAAACATTGACATTGACACCAACCCATGTTGAGAGTAAAAAAAGAGGAGAAGAAGCTACAGTGTGTTATTGTAACTAGAATGATCCCAGTTTGATGGGTGATGATGTACAATGAATGGTTTTAGAAGTTTTCATTCCGCTGTGGAACATTGTCACTGTTTGATGGTGGTGAATGCATTCCCAAGCAGTGCAGCTAGTCACGGCGACTCTCTTCATGTTGGCCACTGCCAGCTTTGACTTACCAACCACTTCTCAAGCCAAGTGAGTTTCTGTATTTGGCCCTCAAAAACAAAAAGGCTTTGGGTGGAGTGTCACTTTAATGGTGCCAGTAACATCTTCTAGGGGTGGCATAATGAAATGAAGGGTGTCAACACGAAGCCTGACATGATGTGGCTGCATATGAAATCCGGCGAAAGTTCCCTCTGTTTCTTAACCACAGCAAACTCAAAATTACCCAATATGTTCTGTACCAGACATGTTGCAATTCCCACTTCTCTAAATGTTTGTGAGTTGCAGTTTTGTAAAAAGTTTACAATATTTAGCCAACACAGCACAACAGAACCACTATAGTGTAGCAAAGGTAGGATTTATTGCAGGGCTGTTGTATTAGACTGCATTAGTTTCAGATAGATAAGCTGGCAACTGACGGTACATTCTGGTTAAGCATATAGATTGATTCACCCAGTATTCGATCCATTGCTTCAGTGCAGGGTCACTTTTATTGTGTGTAAACTCATGGGGAGACGCGAGAACCATTGCTATGTTGGCCACAAAGACTACAGCCACTGGAGTGTTAGATGTTTAGCTATAGCTAGTTTCCCTGTTTTTTGCAACCATGAATAAAAAGGCTGTTGTCTGTACAGTTATCAATCACAAGGACATTTCTAGCCAAATGACCTGCTGAAAAAAGAAATGAGAGAAAGAGGTATTCTGGTCAAAGCAAAGAGGAACATTGATTTCTATTTCCAGTGAGATTAAAAGTGGAGGCCAACGTTGTCTTTCTCAATCTAGTTTACATGAAACCACAAAAAAAGCTACCCTAATGGTGACTCCTTTTTTACACATATTTATATGTGAAAAAAATGTAACAAAAACATATTCAATAATCTGATGGGTAAGTAAATTGCTACATTGACTTTGTAGTCCAAGTTCTGTCGAATGCAAGCTGACTATTTAAATATAATAGATCCTCTCTAATCATACATGCAGAAACTTGCTTAAACAAATGGCATCGTCAAATTCAAATGTACAAAAATGAATGGCTACTTGAGGGTGTATTTGCAAAGAAATACTCAATAATATCCATTCTTAATAGGCTATTTTACACATTAAGATTTCCAAAAAGCTTCTTTTTTTCCAATGACATTCCAGATTAATTCTAATATCTAAAAAGTAATTCATCTAAATAGTTTTACAGTTAGCTGACAGTTAAGTTGTACTCACCATGCTGAGGACAGCAATCCGAGGCGATGCTGCTTCGTCTGAACGGTTGGTGTAAAAAGTGTTGCAGAGTGTGTTTGTTCAGTGTATCTGTGTGAGTTTCTGTCGCTGTCGAAGAGAGAGACAGAGAGGTACCGAGATAAAGCGAATGACAAAGAGTGTGACAAAGCATTAAGTGTGTGACTCTGTGTTTGACTGTGGGGGTTTGGGGGGTGGACACTCCAGTTCTGTAAGCTACATTAGTAGACTACTTCCTCTCTCTGTAGTATGTGTGTGTTTTGTGAGGGTGTGAGTCTCACAGTCTCTGTTATCTGTGTGTTTTGATCTCATGGATTTGCCTATACCTGGCTAACTCCCTGCAGTTTCCCTCTGTGCTTAACAACTGATGCCCACTCACTCGGTGGAAGGGCCACTGGGAGACTTGTTCCTCTGCAACCGTATCAAACACTTTAAACACAGTTCAAATGTGACGAGTGATTTCACTCCACAAAAATGTGACGTGACTAAAAGCTACATAGCCACAATAAGCAACAACCACACTATAATAAAGAATTTGACCACATGTCTGCAAAACAACAAGACCAACAGTCGACAGCCGTGTGAGGCTGCACTTTGGCACAGTGGAGCTTTGAGCTACCAAGCAGAGCAACATAACCACAACCACAACGCTAACACTCTGAAGTTTAGCAGGTTAAATGTTTGCCGTGTTCACACTCCTATTCTTAGCATGCTAAGATTAGCTAATTAGCGCTAGATGATAAGTCAGTGGTTCGACAAATTCTGCAGCCTTCATCCTCTCAGGTCTAAAACTGTCTATACAAAGTGTCGTGGCAACCCTACATTAATAGTTGTGTGTGTATAGATTGCGATCAAATGTGAGCTAACTGTGGTCCATGCACTGTTTCTGGGTGTTGACTTTGTGGCCATTTTAGACTTGTCAAGCTTTGGTTCAGGATCAACATCCAGAATTGTCCCGTGTATTTTAAGGATTCTGGCCCTCAGACTGGTGTGAGCGACTGATTTGATCACCCTTATAGAGGCTGTAGAGTGTTTGAGTTGCTGCAGTGTTTATTTGTGACAGGGTTTTTACTTCGTGTGAAAGTTTTGCAATTAAAGGAAATCTTCTGTGGTCATTTGATATCTGATCAATTCAAAACTTTACGTTATCTTTTACAAGTAAATTAAACAACCAAATTCAAAAAATAAATTGGAACAACAAGAATGTACAAATTTGGTTTTAGGAAGTAAAATGTAAGTCAGAAATTGTAGCACCCTCAGACCTTTAGGTGTGCTTTGGGTCGCTGACAGCAAAGGTCAAGTCACTTTCATTATCAGACTCCACATAAACCTACTGTACCAAGGCTCACTACAGGTCGTTGTGTGCAGACTCTCACCACGATCTTACCATCATCCAAAACGCGACACAATGCAAACTTGATCGTTCCTGTTATTAGGGCAAGCTGCCAGATCGTCAGTCTGTCGCTTCAAAGATATTAGGAGCATCAATGCTTATTGTATTGTTATTGTAATGTTTTTGGATGTTGCTTGACCTACAATGCTCCGATGCTGATGCACGTGCAGAAACTCACATCCACATTTAGGCTTGTGTGTTGTTGATTGTCACGCAAATTCATTTCCCCTAAACTGAGGCTGCTTGTCTTCTCTTGATGATTTCACTGAGCATTGCTTTAGGATATTTGCATATTCACTATTTTCTCTAGTCTGCCTTGGTTGGTCTGTATGACCCTATAGTTGATGACTTTGCACATTTCAAAAATGTAGAAAACCAAAAAAAAAAACACGTTTCTGGGTATGTTTTTTCAACAACTGAAAGCTTTTGCAGAAAGGTTAAATTGTGCTTTTTTTACAGAACTATTACAAAAGAATGTCCAGCATCAATAACTCTTTGTTTTACTGACCCCGAGGTGTGGTGCAGCTCTTTAAAAAAACAGATGTTTAGCTCAGCATTAAGGAAAAGAACATCTGTTTTGTTTGAATACAATTTAAATTTTAGCATCACAACATTTTAACAGAGGGACTTTCCAATTTTATACTTTACACAGTGAATGTGTTTGAAAAAGAGTGGACAGAAGTGTTGCCAAAGAGCACAATCTGCTCGGCCTTGGATGGACTTTCTTCTTGTTAAACTGTTGCTGTAATCAGCCATCTTTTCATAAAAAAAGAAAAAGTTGAAGGGTGCACACATTCTTTCCCTTTTTGAGGTAAACAAATCAAATATCTTCTGCTTTTGAAATGTATTACTTGCAAACATAAAATATTCATCTTATCATTGTGAGTCTTTGAAGATGTGCGTCCTGGACCTGTAAGTCCTGAAGATGGGTTTTTTGGAGGTCTTTGTTTATGTGTGATGATCTATTTCATGTGTCATCTCAAGACATTTTTGTAGCTCATCTTCACTCCACTGCATCCTCTTTCTCCTTCTCTCTCTCATCATTCCTCTGACCGGCGATAGTACGTGTCGTCCGCCCCGTCTTCATCATAGCCAGGATAATGCCCCCCCTCGCTTCCTCCTGTCCCTCTGTCCTCAGGGCAGTGGATCCCCAGTCTCTTCTGCAGCTTCTCCTCCTGGAGGCGCTGCTCCATGGAGTCCACCAGGTCGTAGATGCTATCCAGGGACCACATGGGTGATGGGAACCACGCCTTGACATCGCTATCCTTCCCCACGACCAGCATGCTGTAGTATTCCTTACTGATCTTCAGCTGTTCTCTCAGATTGTTGACCATGTCACGGGATAACGGCTCAACTTCACTCTGACTGTGACCTGGTGAATTGTAAGTTGTGCACTTTATTAAACACTGTTGTAAGTTGATGTTTCCATCACCGTTTGGTGGACATAGACTGCTCCACATTACTGTGACTCACCATTTAGGGGAAACAGCTCAACAGTTCCTGATGCTTTGTCTCCAGTTCCAGTCACCTTCAACATGGCAAAGTGGCGAATACCTGAAGAAAAAACGAAAAATAAGTAGTGGGTAAATGTGAGCAACAAATAGCCAGTAGTGGAAGAAGTACTCCGAACATTTACTGAAGTAAAAGCAGCAATACTACAGTGTAGAAATTCTTTGTTACAAGTAAAAGTCCTTTATTCGATTTTTCCTTAAGTTAAACTACAAAAGAATTAGCATATAAATATACTAAAAATGCTCATTTTGCAGAATGCCCCAGTTTAGAATAGTATATATATTATTTTGAAGGATTATAATAATTGGTACATTAATTCTTAAGCATCATTTTAATGGTGCAGCTGGTAAAGGTAGAGCTAACTATTGTTTATCAATCTAAATCTGCAAAGTAAATGTAGTTCAGTAAAAAGTGTAATATTTCCCTTTTGAAATGTAGAGAGTTGAAGTATAAGGTACAGCATACAATGGAATTACTCAATATTTTACTTAAGCACAGTACTTAAGTAAATTACTTTATTGCTTTCCCCTTTCTGCAAATGACTGTCAGGTAGCATAATACAGTGTAGTTTAGTATAAATAAGAATATATTATAACATAAAAATGATGCATATTACATATATGACCAGTTTTTATAGTTATTATTTAATTCTACCCAATAAGTCAAACAAAGTGTTTGTTTAAAGGTCAGAGGGGAAACCTGACTCAGTTGTAACGTTTCCTTATTGCGCCAAAAACTGCAGCACAGACAGTTCTGCATTGTTCAGTAGATGTAAGTGTGGTGAGCTACTGACCCAGGTGACACTCCTGTCCACTGAGAGCAGAGACCTGCTGTTGGAAGGAGTAGTCGTCCTCAGAGGGAGCAGAGATGAGCAGCAGTCTCCTCTTAGACATGAACCTAAACATCAAGAGGAATAGCCATGTAAGTTTAAATGTATGCTACAAGTCAGCATTATGTGACATCAGGACATAAGAATGAGAACATTTTGTATATGATTTCTGAAGAGGCTGTTTGTCCCTATGTAGCATTAGTGGATAATGAGCACTGAATTACAGCACAGTACCTGAGCAGTGAGTTCTCAGCTCCAGGCTGTGGCTTGCCATTAGAGCAGGACGGAGGACTCCTCCTTTCTTTTTCTTTTTCGGAACGCCTTGAGGGAAAGTCGTCAATGTACTCGAACAGAGCAGGGCCTGACGGAGGAGCCTCAAAGACTTTCTAGGGGAATAATAAATGCTAATCAGGCAGAGCAAACACAGAGAGGCAAGTGTAGTCAAGTTAAGTGTACTTGTATTACATAGATTTATATAGATTTACATCAGGGGTTCGTAGCCTTACACAGCAAAAAAAAGAAAAGAACATTGTAAAAATACAGCAATGTCACTTGCTCAGTGACACATGATCAATTGGCTATTTTGTCAATCTCTTACTAAATGATGGTGGATTCTTTTAGATTTTCACAAACAATTGAAAGGATGGCACCACCTTTGTCCAACAAGCTTGAAGGAAATGTTGCCTCTTCTGTATTAGCTTGGCAGACGAGGTGAATATTCTCATCACTCTGAGCGCCTGTGAACTCAACTGCACTTCCAGGTGTGATCCTGAGTGAGAGTGGCGCTGAAGACAAGCATGCATGCTTACCAAACCCACATTAAAAGACAAAAGAACAAAGTGCAGAGGAGACCGTCTTACATTGGGTTTGATGTCGTAGTCTGTGACGGTCATGGAAAAGAGGTCAGAGGACGACAGGCCGAGCTCTGCTCTCAACAGAGAGATCAGGCCTGAATCTGAGAAATGATCTGATTGGTCACTGAGTTGAGGCTCCGACTCTGAAACACAAACAATATACGAATGAGTATGTCTGCATATACAGTTGTGTGAAAAAGTGTTTGCCCCTTCCTGATTTCTTATTTTTTTGCATGTTTGTCACACTTAAATGTTTCAGATCATCAAACAAATTTAAATATTAGACAAAGATAACGCAAGTAAACACAAAATGCAGTTTTTAAATGAAGGTTTTTATTATTAAGGGGGAAAAAAAATCCAAACCTACATGGCCCTGTGTGAAAAAGTGATTGCCCCCTAAACCTAATAACTGGTTGGGCCACCCTTAGCAGCAACAACTGCAATCAAGCATTTGCGATATCTGGCAATGAGTCTTTTACAGCGCTGTAGAGGAATTTTGGCACGCTCATCTTTGCAGAATTGTTGTAATTCAGCCACATTGGAGGGTTTTCGAGCACGAACCGCCTTTTTAAGGTCATGTCACAGCATCTCAATCGGATTCAGGTCGGGACTTTGACTAGGCCACTCCAAAGTCTTCATTTTGTTTTTCTTAAGCCATTCAGAGGTGGACTTGCTGGTGTGTTTTGGATCATTGTCCTGCTGCAGAACCCAAGTGCGCTTCAGCTTGAGGTCACGAACAGATGGCCGGACATTCTCCTTCGGGATTTTTTGGTAGACAGCAGAATTCATGGTTCCATTTACCACAGCAAGTCTTCCAGGTCCTGAAGCAGCAAAACAGCCCCAGACCATCACACTACCACCACCATATTTTACTGTTGGTATGATGTTCCTTTTCTGAAATGCCGTGTTACTTTTACGCCAGATGTAATGGGACAGACACCTTCCAAAAAGTTCAAATTTTGTCTCGTCAGTCCACAGAGTATTTTCCCAAAAGTCTTGGGGATCATCAAGACGTTTTCTGGCAAAACTGAGACGAGCCTTTATGTTCTTTTTGCTCAGCAGTGGTTTTCGTCTTGGAACTCTGCCATGCAGGCCATTTTTGCCCAGTCTCTTTCTTATGGTGGAGTCATGAACACTGACCTTAATTGAGGCAAGTGAGGCCTGCAGTTCTTTGGATGTTGTTCTGGGGTCTTTTGTGACCTCTTGGATGAGTCGTCGCTGCGCTCTTGGGGTAATTTTGGTCGGCCGGCCACTCCTGGGAAGGTTCACCACTGTTCCATGTTTTCGCCATTTGTGGATAATGGCTCTCACTCACTGTGGTTCGCTGGAGTCCCAAAGCTTTAGAAATGGCTTTGTAACCTTTTCCAGACTGATAGATCTCAATTACTTTACACAGGGCCATGTAGGTTTGGATTTTTTCCCCCCCTTAATAATAAAAACCTTCATTTAAAAACTGCATTTTGTGTTTACTTGTGTTATCTTTGTCTAATATTTAAATTTGTTTGATGATCTGAAACATTTAAGTGTGACGAACATGCAAAAAAATAAGAAATCAGGAAGGGGGCAAACACTTTTTCACACAACTGTAGATGTAAACATGTGTTATCAGTGAGCTCAAAGCAACCCTGTGGTTTTAGTGCTACAGCCTCAGACCATAGACTCTTGTTTTCTATTCAAACAGCTGCTGTTTCGCTGTTGGAAGTCAGAAATACCCACAGCATTTAAACACACCACAGCTCAATAACAAATATTGGCAACACAATTATAACAAGCAGTCTGCAGCTCAATTTTTGAAAAAATAAATTGAAGTAAAGAGGAAAAAGCTTGAAAAACACTATATATGATCCTTTTAACAACAAATGCGAGAGTGAAGAAATTCACTCTTTCAGACCGTTGTACTTGAATAAGACCTGTACTGCTATAACTATAGAAGCACCATATTTGCCTTTGATCACAACTTTTTGTTCGTAATATTCAAATATTACTTATATGTAAAAACAAATAGATCATATCTGCACAATATTCCTTGGATCACCCCTCGATAGAACCTAATCAAATATTATTAAATGCAAATTTCCAAACAGACAATATCATACACATGCACAAAAGTGTTCAAGCCCTCCTTACTGAGCTGGTGGTGTTGCAGCGTGAGCTTGGCGTCACTTCCCTCTCCCACAATGGTCGCCACAGTGATCTTCCTAATAGCGAGGTCGCAGTGTTGCTTCTCGCTGTCGTCTTTCTGCTGCATGTACAGTGTTGCGTCTCTGCTGGGCGTTGAGATCAACTAGCACCAGTGCGACACACAAACAGAAACATCACTCTGAATGGAGGATATAAGGTCCTGATCAGGTGCAGATATGTCTTAGGAGTCAAATGTTTTGCATGTGCTTTATAATGTGGATGTAGAGATAAAAGACTGAGAAAAAGAGACAGTTCTCACCATTAACCTTCTTGTCCCCTTTAAAGTGTTCAAAAACTCCGCCAGTGCCGTTTTATCCTTCTCACTGGGCTCCCTGTTGGACTTTTTACCTCTTCCTTTCCCTTTCTTCCCTTTTTTCCCTTTACCCTTTTTCTTGGATCTTTGTTTTTCCTGTGTGTCATCCTTTACATTCTGCTCTTTTTTATCTTCACTGTTTTCCCCTCCATTCCTTATCTTCCCTTCATCCACAGCGGAGACAGGCCTGCAGTAGAATAGAGAAAAAAAAGGACTTTGATGTTCATCCAGCTCTAAAAAAGCACTTCTGTCTGGTGTAAAGAGATGAGAAGGCATGACCAACCAGATGGGAACACAAAATCTAAGCAGGGCCTTAACATCCACACTCTTTTGTCTACTACAGTATGTTTGAAAAATGGACCAAAAATATGAAGATAGTACCTGTCTTTCTTCACTTCATCGTTACTCTTTGACACAGATGGAGGGCTGTGCACTCTTTCCTGTCCGTTAGAAGACGTCCGACCACCACTGCTTGAGCCCTTTCCCCTCGTGGACCCCGCGGCAGGCGCCTTACGGATAACATACCTCGACCGTCCACTCAGTATATCCTGGATTTTACTCTTCAGGGCAGCTTTTTTGTCCAGGGGAGGTTTTCTTTGTAATGCCACGACAGAAGTCACATTACCTCGCCTCTGAGGGATCAGTATCATCTTCTTTTTCATCTTTTTTCTTTTCATCACAACCTTCTTTTTAGTGGTTTTACACCTAAATTTAAAAAAAAAAACAGGATTTGTTTACATTTTTCCTACATAACTTCAATTAAAATATGTGCTATAGATTGGATAGCACACATTAACATCTTACACATCAACAACTCCTACAAACTGAAGATGAATTTTTAGAATGTGAGATGTGGGTCATTTCCCCTACAACAGCATGACTTTCAATTGAAAGTGCACTGACTGAACTTGTTATGTCTTTCCTCCATTCTCCATCAGTACAGTAAATGATACAGTGGTCTAATGGAACCTCAAGTTGGATCCTTTTCTGGTCATCTTCTCCAGCTTCCTCACGGGGAGCTGATCAATGAGCTCCAAAATCGCCTCAACACGGACCGGATAAGGGAAGCGCTCACTGACCCGCAGGTTCTTCTTCAGAACCAGCATGGTGAACCCTTGCTTCTGAAACAGTTGTTGCAGTATAAAAACTCAAGCGCAGGTACCCACAAAGGAGGAATAGACAAATTCAGAGAACATTTATAAAAAGAAATAATTCAAATGGGCTGCAACTTGTTTATATCTTGTTGTAAGACTAACTGGTTACCTGGCTGGTGAGCTCCAGGTAGTGCAGCAGTTTGCTAACTGTGTCAGGGTCCAGGCTCTCCACTGTGGCGTCTCCTTGGAAAGTTGTTTTCTGGATCCGACCTTCCATCATGGCATTCTGGATGATGGTGATGATGAATGTGTCTCTTTCTGCTAGACGGCAGTTCAGCCCTTTCTGAAAGAGAGAGGGAGAGACAAAGGAGTTACAGAAGAGATAGAAAAGATGCTGTTTTTAGTTAAATTACTTCAGAATATTTTCCCAAATGAAATGTAACAAATTTAAAAACAATCACCAAATGGTATAAATAAGTCAATACAGTACCTGTTCCATGTCTTCCAGCTGTTTCTCCATCATACGAAGATAGTGGTCATTGTGTGATGGGGCTGTTATCACCCACAGTCGCTTTTTACCTGGAGGAGAGAAGGGGTACTGTAAGTACTATACTGTAAGTAGGTAAACAGACAAGTAGGTACATCAGCTGATCAGTTAATTTGTCTTGCCTGCAAAGTCCGCCAGGAAATCCAGCTCCGGAGCCAGGCTCGATGAGGACTCTCCAACCCCTCTGTTGTCCGCATGATTTTCATTCAACCCCAACCCCTGCTCGATGCCCGGAGGGAGGTCTGAATAGTCTCCCCAGTCCCTCACGTTAGGGTCCAGCTGAACCTTGGGCTTGCTGCGACTGATGCCCGGCCAGGCGGCGAGCCAACCCGGGTAGCTGCAGAGAACAGCAAACAACAGCAGAGGCCAGTGTGAGTTATAGAAATGAAACATCCTTGCTGATATGGTTGAGTGGCTGGTTCGTTGATCAGCTGGAAGTGGTTAGCAGCTCACAAATCCTCCTCTGACTATAAAATACATTTGTGGTATCGTAGGCACCAGTGTTGCATCTGAAACAGACCAGATGGATTTGTGAGCTGTTTAAAAGTGATTTAAGAGTATAAAAGCTCCACAACGTCGATCACAAAAGTTGAGAAATCCCCAAGTTCAAACCCCCATTAAAGGCTGAAGAATTCTGTATCCTAAAAAAAACAGGTGGACCCAATCGGACATGACTCTCAAAGGTAAATGAACAGCAAAGACTGCAGGGATGTTAGCCTCTCTCACCAGCAGAGAGAGACTGACTGGGGAGACTTCCCTCTCCTTGCACACATGCGCTCCTGGTTCACATTATACTCCGGGTCCGTTGACAGGAAACTCAAAGAATTTTCTGGGACTTCAAAGCATTTTCTCTCTCTCTCTCTCTCTCTCTCTCTCTCTCTCTCTCTCTCTCTCT